GAAGGCCTATCCTAATGCCTGCAGGAATCCTACGACTCCACTCTGGCTTAGCTTGGAGTTCACCAGGGTGAGCCTGTACCTACTGTGTGTGCCCTTCTAGAAGTTTTACTATCTCTTCCTTGTCCGAAAAAAAACAAAACAAAACTATGCTTTGCGCATGGACCTGCCTAGATGGACAGTAGCTGAATGTGGTCTTACCACAGTTCTTTTTGGAAAGTGGTAGTGTTTATTCTTCAAGAGCCTTGACACTCTTGGCAGGATGAGGGTGAGAAATGCCTTCTCCATGGTAACTGGAATTTCTGATGTCATTTCTGACTTCTAGGATTTGAGTCCAGTGAAAAAAGAGTCTGGAACCCAGGAACCTGTCACTTCAGTGATGCTGTGACTGCCCTTGCTAAGGGCAAGTGGGTGGGCAAAGGGACAAGGCCTGGAGGAGGGCAGATGAGCTGCCCATATCTACCTAGAGGGCTCCACAGTCAGGATTCCAGACCGCAGCTGGCAGTGCCACCCTCAGAGACTATACTGTGTCTCTTCACGCCATGCAGTTTACTCTGTCCTACCCTTCACTCCTTCCATGATTCGTCTGTGGCTAATGGACGCAGGATAGGTCCCAGACCACAGCACTCCTGGGGTTACAACCAACAAAGATCAATCAGTGGAAGGCCAATTCTACCTCTTTAGGGAACTGAAAACAAAACCCTGCTACCATCCAATGAAAGATGGAGAAGGTACAGAGGAGAAAGACCCTTGTATGACACATGTAAGAGGGCCAGCACTCTGTATCATGTACCACGAATAAGGTTATAAGTGGGATCCTGAGATTGCCAGGGCAGAGCTAGAGGGGGTTGTGGGGACAGGGTATTACCCACCTGGCAGGAGACAGTCGGCTTGAGACACACACTGGATTTTAGGGCACATTTGTTACATACGAGGGCTTCTGCCACCTTTGTCTCTCTTCCTTGGTTGGACACAGAATCCTGATAGCCACATCGTGGAGAAGCTAATTGCCCAGCCTAACCTCCCTGTGCTGTATCTGTGAGCCAGGGGCAACCTGACCTCCTGTCTGGCAGCTAGCTTACCTCTCTGGGCCCTAAAAAGTCATCTCATGATGATGTTTACCACATACTGGAACCATGACCTCTCGTGGAACCAGTGTAACTGCAGACAGAATTGTCAGACACTCTGGTGTGAGGTCATGACACTGAGTGCCTGAGGTTGTGAGGGAAAGGGGAAGCAGTGCTGGGAACTGAGGGTGTCCCCTGGAGGTGCAGCTGAGGGGACAGAAAAGGGTCCATGTCCTGTCCCTCTGTATTTGTGCACTGAGGGGTAGTATACCCACTTCTCATCTTTGCCTAAAGATGGGAATTCTCTATTCTCCAAGATGCTGTATAGAATCCCAAGTCCATGTCTCAAGGGGAGCAGGCCCAGGTAGCAGGGAGCCCTTCTGAGCTAAGGAGCAGGGTCTCTTCCCCTCAGCCCAGGTGGTCACATCTCACCCACCACTAGCCCTGGGGACACAGTAATAACCAGTGTCCTCATTTGTAGACGTGTGAGCTGCCAGGTCACTTGTCTCCACCTGTTTGTCACTCCCCTGGATGACTACCTCCAGAGGCACAGGGCAACACTCACACATAAGGGCTACATGTTCCAGCCCCCATCTGAGTCAGTCCTCAGTCTCAGATCTTTGTTTACCCAATAGCTTAAGGGATTCCTCTGGGGGTATTCAGAAGATGCATTCCAGTACTTTGCTCAGTTCTTTCCCAAAGCGACCTGTTTCTATACAGTTCATATTGATTCTGGGTTTGTCTGCCGGAGTGTCAAAGGTGAGACTGGATGTTAGACATACACACCAAGAAACCCCAATTTTGTAGCAATCTTGCACTAATAGACAGTTATAGCTACTTTCTGCTAAAAGAAATGTGCAGCTAATTATCTTGCATTTGTATTATATGTGTGTATCTTTTCGATCAATTCCTAAATGCAAAATGTAGCTGGATTATGTGTCATTCTGAGAATCATGGCCATGTTGTTCATGATGCCTGAACAATTTTTGATGGATATCAGAGAGGTGTATTTCCACCTATTGCATGCAGGGCAAAACACTTTGGTTTTATTATTTTGATTATTTAAAAAATTTATTTTATGTCTATGAGTGCTCTATCTGCATGTACTCTTATGCCAGAAGAGGGCATCAGATCCCTGTATAGATGGTTGTGAGTCACCATGTGGTTGCTGGGAATTGAACTCAGGACCTCTGGAAGGGCAGCCAGTGTTCTTAACCACTGGGCCACCTCTCCAGTCCTGTTGTTTTGTTTTTTTGTACTGGGGATGAACTATGAGACATAAGTGTTAAGTATAAAATGTGAGACATTCTGGGAAGTGGTGGCACACACCTTTAACCCAGCACTTGGAAGGCAGAGACAGGCGTATCTCTGTGAGTTCGAGGCCAGCCTGGCCTACAAAGTTACACAGAGAAGCACTGTCTCAAAAATTAAAAAAAAGAAAAAAGAAAAAAGTGACATTCCTATTTCTGTGTTTGTGTAGTAGTTGGACTTGAGGTTGGGTGACACTTGAGCTGGCCAGATAAAAGGTCTGGAGAAATATATATATTCAAACTCTGATGTTACGAGGAAGGATCCAGGTTACAGGTAGTTGAGCAGCCTTATCTACATTTCTAAAGGGAAACCAGACCCCTACAGACATTGTGGTGGCCATCAAGATCTGCTTCTTGAGCTCTGCCTTGTCTTCCACACTGAATGCTGTTCTAAGATGAAGAGCTGGTTTGGTTCTCACCCAGATACAAGTGAGTCTTCAGCCCTGCCCTCAGCAAGTGGTTATTCTGATGGGGAGGTTGTAGACAGAGGCATCCATGATGGATTATCGCCGGCCTGGGGGATAGCTGAGCAAAAGAACCACCATGAGCTTCTTGTTACTGGGTGGGATGGGTGGGCCTTCATATTCAGCACAAGTGTTATGGGATGCTTTCATCCCATGTTCTGGAGACATAAGAACCAGACTCAGCCGTAGTACAATGCTGAACTGGTGTCACAGCCTAGCCTATGCATGACGGGTGTTGTAGTACTACAATCCACCATGGCTGATAGCCATAATTCCCGCTTTATGCATCAGAACTCATGTTGAGTTCCTCGCTAGGGAAGGTAATTCCTGAAGGTCTGGAGAGGGCGAGGGTGGAAAACAACATGCTGGACGTACTGAGAGGCAATTCAGGGTTGCACTGCGTGCTGTGGCTGCCTCTCACTCTGGCCTCCCCTCTGTGATGTCTTTAAGGCGAGTGAGGCAGGGCTGGTGCGGGTCTCACAGGGCAGTGGACTACACTGAGCAACATGCAACAGGAAAACAGGAACTTCTGTGTCCATTTCCAGGGTGTAGCAGCACAGGTATCCTGGCGTCATTCCTGGGTGTACATGGTATTTGCCTACACATCCTTCTAACAAAAGAATCACCAACTGAGCCTTTATCTCCTTTATGTACCTAACAGAAGGCAGGCCAAGGACCAGAGAAATGCCCTTGCCGGGCAGGGATTCCTCCCTGGAATGCTTAACCCAATCTTAGCTAGACCTAACCTGTGGAGATCAGTGAGGATTTGCCCAACTGCCCCATCGCCTCACCCTAAGGCACTAAACTTGCAGGTTCCAGGAGTTTAGGGACTTGGCAAAATCCGTGAGGCATACAACGCAGAGGAGGAGGCATAGTTGAGGGAGAGCTCTGCGGCTACTAGTCAGCCTCAAACACCATGTTACTCTGTTATTATTTCACCCATTGGAACTAGGATACAATCCCATTGAACTTGGAGTTGGTGGGGACACAGACTCACCTTTTAAGAGTCAGGTTTACATTGTGTACATGATGGGTGGGAGACATTATTATGATAGTCTTTTGTAAAAATACCATCTGGCCAAAGCAGTGGCATACCCTGTAATTCCAGTACTTGGAAAGCGGAAGCAAAAGACTCAAGATTTCACGGCCATCCTCTGCTATACAGCAAATCAGAATTTAGCCTGGACTGCAAGATGCCCAGCATCAAAGAAACAAGAAGACAGCGCTGAAATAAACAGAAATACATGGTCTGTCAAACTGGAATATCCAGGTCTAGAGGGTCTCCGTGAAAGGAAAATGAGAGACATAGGTGGCTTGAGGACCACAAAGATTAGACACTGGTAGGCTAAGGCCCACAGTTCCATAGGAAGAACAGCAGTATGGGATAAGCGTTGTGAAAGGAGTTAGAAGCATGGGAGCCAGAGTGAGGCACAGGAAGTCCAGGAATAGTGGATGACAGAAGAATGACTAAAGGTACTAAAATGTAAAAGAACCAGGAAGGCAGACCTTGAGTACACATGGGTGTCGCAGAGCCCTCTATACTACATTTGTTTTCCTAGATTGCTTTACAACAGTTGGCCAAGCAATAGGAACTGATTTTCTCACCATGTTTGAGACCGGAATTTGGAAATCAAGGTACTGGTCAAGGGATGGTTAACTTTGGAAACTCCCAAGAAGAAGCTTTTCTATCTCCTGTTGCTGACATTCCGTGGCTTGGGGATGTGTCACTAAAATCCCTGCCACCCTGGTCCTGCCCATCAAAAATTTTGAGTCATCATACGGCTTTCTCTTAAGAATGCCACTCATTAGATTTAGGACCAACACTGGTCAAGTGTGTCTGCATTCTAAGTTGCTTTTACAAAGAAGTCATTTCCACAAGGCTGCACTCTGAGGTTCTGGAAGAACATACATTATGGAGGAGCATTACTCACACCAGCACCGGGGAGGCACTAACATGGGTTCATGAACATTCTGAGTTTCTGTCTCTCTCAAATGGCACCCGAGACTGGACACGGTGGTGAGGGATCCATTGAAAGACCTGGGAAGCCAAAAGGGGGTCACTTTGTCTGCCGGCGACCATGTTATGGATAAGCCCAGGGCTTTCGTAGACAGGGATGAGGAATGTTTTGTGACATTTAAAAGTATTAGCATCCATCCAGGCATAGTGGCATACACTTTTAATCCCAGTCTTGGGTGGCAGAGGTAGGCAGATCCCTGGGAGTTAAAGGCCAGCCTGATCTATATAGTGGGTTCCAGAACAACCTGAAATACATAGTGAGTCCTTGTCTCATAAAAACAAGATAGGCTCCCACATACACAGAGAAACCATTGATGTAATTTCCAACAAACTTTCCTATAAATGTCTAGACACTTTGTACCATTAATTATAGAAGGTTTACCTCAAATCATTAATCAACATTTCGTCATGCAAGGAAACAACATTTATGCTTCTTCCTACCAGTTCATTAATATTTCCCTCATATATAATTATTTATATGTTTAAACAAGCAATGCATAGCTGTACCCTTTTTAAACTATGAACTATGGCTTGTATAGTTAGGTTTATGTATCTATTGTGTGTAGATACCTGTGGCATGTACGTACATGTGTGCCTGTGATATCCCAAAGACACAGAATTTACCAACTGAGTATGATATCTCTGTAGTCCTACTTAGGTCTGTGGTAAAATATTCTTTTTTCATGAGAACCAAGAATATTTTGATGAGAGATATGGATGAGGAACTGAATCTACAATAAATTCTTTTATATGATCAGGTGGTATGAGCTCTCAAGTCTTCTGAAATGACATGATTTTGAAAGACTTTCTGCATTCACAACACAAATAATGTCTCTTCCCAGTATGGTGTGGATGGTATACCAACAGTATCCCACAGCTTCAGTAATGGCAATATGTGTGACCTTGATGATACACCTTCAGATGATACACAGCAATGACAGATTTCCCATAGACAGAGCATTACTATAGTTTCCCTGTGCTGTGAGTTTGCTCATAGGATGTCACTTGTGAATTCTGCAGGAAGCCCTTTTCACCTTTGCTATGGACAAAAGATCTCTCCTTACTGTGAATTTTACAATGTCTATAGAAAGAAGACTTATCACTGAAGGCCCGCCCACATTCAGCACACACATATGGCTTCTCGCCTGTGTGAATTCGCTGATGCTCTTTGAGATTGGCTTTAGAAGACATGGCTTTTCCACAGTCGCTGCATATGTACGGCTTCTCTCCGGTGTGAATCCTCTGGTGTGTGCTGAGGACTGACCTGTCATTGAAGGCCTTCCCACAGTCCGAGCACACAAAGGGTTTCTCCCCGGTGTGAATGCGGCGGTGCACCTTCAGGTGGGACGCTCTGCGGAAGGACTTGCCACAGTCAGGGCACCTGTGCGGCTTCTCACCAGTGTGAGTCTGCTGGTGCATCTGCAGGTGAGAGTTCCTTCTGAATGACTTCCCACAGTCGTCACACTTGTAAGGCCTCTCGCCAGTGTGAATCCGATGATGCACATGTAGGTGTGATTTCACACTGTAGGACTTCCCACAGTCATGGCACTTGTAAGGCTTCTCCCCTGTGTGAACTCGGCAATGCTTCTTCAGATCCGAAGCATACAGAAACAGCTTTCCACAGTCGCTACATGGGTAACACTTCTCCCCAGTGTGAATTCTCTGATGTGTGGCAAGGACTGACTTTTGGCTGAAGGCCATTCCACAGTCAGAGCACACAAAAGATCTACCGTCGGTGTGAATTTGATGATGTACCTTCAGTTGGGATATTTTCCTGAATGACTCCCCACACTCAAAGCATTTGTAAGGTCCCTCACTGGTGTGGATTCGATGGTGCGCGAGGAGGTTAGACTTAATACTGAAAGATTTCCCACAGTCAGGGCACTCATAGGGCTTCTCCCCTGTGTGGAACCGACAATGCTTTGTCAGGTCTGATGCACAAACAAACATTTTCCCACAGTCGCTGCACGTGTAAGGCTTCTCCCCAGTGTGAATTCTCTGATGGATGGTGAGGACTGACTTTTGGCTGAAGGCCTTCCCACAGTCAGAACACGCATAAGGCTTCTCACCAGTGTGTGTCCGAAGGTGCACCTTTAGGTGGGATGTATAGCTGAATGACTTCCCACACACATGGCATTCATAACGTTTCTCCTTTGTGTGGATTTCACGGTGCACTTGCAGGTTGGACATGCCCTTAAGTGATTTCGCACAGTCAGGACATTCATAAGGTGTCTCTTCTCTATGAGTCTCTGGATGGGAGGTCAATTTAGACTTGTGGACAAAGGTTTTCCCACATGTGTGACAGATAAAAGATGTGTCCATATTGTTAGTTATTTGTTGTTGACAGAAAGCAGACTCGCTGGTGAAGACTTTCTCACAACCAGTATATTCAGCTGCTTTGTCTTGAAAATTGATTTCATGCTCCATAAGTGGTGGATTGGGGGAAAGAATATCTCCAAACTGACCTTCGTGGTATGATTTTTCTCTTTGATGAGAAATTGTACACACACCATTAGAAGAGCTTTGTGTAAAAACCTGGTGAGATCCAATGATGTCACTAACCTGCTTTGTGGCATTGCTTTGATTGTCACTATCTGCTTCAAGGTTAGGCTTCAAACATTTTGCAGATGAGAAACATCTTGGAGGTCCATATTGTGTAGAAAGGAGGTGGCCGCCCAGAAGAAGAGATTCCCCGCTTTCTTCGTGGTCACAGCCACTGTCTGTGTGCAGTGTTTCCTGAGTTTGGAAAGCACCAGGACTTACGGGTGGCATCTGGCTTTGCTGATCTGTCTTTGTGGTAGTGTTGCCACCCTGCCACAGTTTCTCTAAGATGGAGTATGAACCATGTCCTGTGACGTCACTGGATGCATCATTTAGAAATGAAGCTTTCACAAAAATCTGTTGCTGTGGTGTGTCAAGCCGCAGGTCACCTGCAGAGGAGAGAAAGACATGAAGGAACAGACACAATGAACAGGATGGAGGAGGGACCACATGGAACTGAATCTGAACTTTGAGAAATCGGAGTCAGGAAGTAGTCACGCTCATCACGTGATGATAATGGTAAGGACACCACCATGGTCCTTATTACATACCACACATCACACATACAGCACCCACATGTGCTAGGCATCTTCCTATGCACTGGGCACATGAACTAACAATAACCCACAAATAGCCACATCTACTCTCCTTGTTTTATATGTGAGAAATTGGGAGCTATCGTTAGTGGCCAGAATCACTTAGCTGACTTGTGGGAAGATATGGTTTGGGCAAAGGCAACCAGCTCAACAAATAAGAGGCCACACAGATACAGTAAATAGGAAGGGCTCAGACAAGGCTGTTACACTGCATTGTTGGTGGACAGCTAAGATCTAAAGACTGCCAAGAAGACTGCATTGGCTCTGAAGAAATGCAGATTCATGTCCTTTGCCCTTTTTCTCATCTTTTTTTTTGTTGTTGTTAAGTTTCTTTTTCTTTATTGTGGCAGTGAGGATTAAAATTGAGGCCCACCCATGCTAAGCAAGCATTCCACCTGAGCAATAAACCTATGCTCTCAAATTGTTACTCTTTATGTTACACTGTTACACACATAGATGTATATGCAGGAGAGGTGGGCTGGAGAGATGGTTCAGTGGTTAGCAACACTTGTTGCTCTTGCTGATTCCTAGCACCTGCATGGCAACTAAATACAACTACAGTTCCAAGGAATCTGACGCCCTCTTCTGGCTTTCACAGGCACTGCACAACACACGGTGCATGGACACACAGGAAGGCAAAACACCCATACACATAAAATAAAAATAAATTCTTAATACACACCCACATTCGGCCCCCTGTCCGTCCATCCATCTGTGTGTGTGTGTGTGTGTGTGTATGTGTGTGTGTGTGTATGTATTTGTGTATTCACTTGAACGTGCTGCACATGCCATGGCATGTGTGTGGAATTCAAAGGACAACCTCGCCTTTTACCATGCACACTTCATGAATCAAACTCACAAAACAACACATGGAAATATCCAAAAAGGAACCAAGTTTAAAGAGGGAAAATTCATAAAAGACTTGATATTCCACCATGTTTGACAAAGAAAAATAAGGAAAGGAGGACCATCCTGGATGCCCAGGCCAGCTGTGCTCACCCACTGCCAAGAGGTGGCTGTAGATCTCCAGCATCACGTCCTGGTACAGGCATCTCTGGGCAGAGTCCAGTTGCTGCCACTCCTCCTGGCTGAAGGTCACAGTCACATCCTCAAAGGACACCAATCTCTGTAACAATATATGCCCTGTGAATTAGTGCTGACAAACAGGACATGTGTTTTCAGTGACTCCTTCCCCCCAGGTAAAGCTTTCCACAGAATACCTATTTCCCACTGAATTTTGGAGCATAAAGAAAAAAACCAAAAACGGCCACATATTAAATAGTGTTATCCCCTCCCCAGGAGGCCAGAAATGGATTCTTTTAATTCTCTATCAAAGATTACACAGCATACCAATTGCTAAGCCACATTGTACCTGTCTTTAGCTGTGTTGGGTCCCTGGGATTCAACACTATATGAGTTTGTATTCTCAGAGAGACTCAGACTTGCAAAATAGCAACTATAAAGACACAAGTATGGAATTATAAGGGAACACTTTTAGAAATTTACAAAAGCAAATTGTTGGGAAGGGCAAATTAGGCACATAGCTGGAAATGGCTATCATGCTAATCAGAGTACAGCAACTTAAACTGGAAGAGAGAAGTTTGAATTGGAATGTGGAAAATGCCATATTCTAGAAGAGAACTAGAACAAAGGTGGAATGGTAGGAAAAGCCAGCTTCAGGGAGTGGCAGAGAGCCCTGTGGAGGAGGAGACAGTAACATCCATAATGACTGAAAAGTGGTAGTTATCCAAGTCACAAAGAGGTACGCTGGGGTGGGTCTGAGGTGGGTGAAAAGGGTATGGACGTTTCAATTCTGAGTCATGGATTGCCACTTAACTAATTAACTGCAGGACAATGAGGATCTTCACATTTAAAGGCTGCTCTTTCTTATGCATCCGATTTGCACCATTCTAAGGTGAGACAGTGGAAGCATCTGCCTCCAGCAGCCCTGAAGACACAGGTGCAGCCAGAGGGCAGTCACGACTGCAGCACTTTTCCTCCTTGACAATGCTGCCAACCCACACAAGAGAAGCACTGGCGGACAGAGTTACACGAGGTAGGATTTGGGGGTGATTTTAGCATGATGTGAACCTGGCAGGATATAATAGTGCAGGCATGCTACCACTGTGAAGTGTTCTTACAAGAATAAAATAAAATAGGAGTCTGATCGTTTCCCAAAGCAGAAATCTCCAATGCAGATACAATGGTAGCCATGAGTCATCTCAAAATTTCCAGCAGCCATATTAATTATAAACAGATGGAATCAATTTAATAGTATACTTAATTTAGCCGAATATATCCAAATTATTGTTTTAAAATACTTAGCTTCAGGCTAAAGAGAGGGCCCAGCAGTTAAGAGTGCTGGCTTCCAGAGATCTGGGTTCAATTCCCAACACCCACATGGTAGCTCAGAACTGGCCATAACCCCAGCTCTAGGATCCGATGCTCTCTTCTGGCCGTTGTGGGTACTTACTGTATGCATATGGTACACAGATAGACAAACATCCATATACACAAAATAATATAATTAAAAAAAAATTAGGTACTGAGCTTTGAGGAGCCAGTGTGTAGCTATGAACCAGGAGGGGACCTGTACACTTGTGGGGTAAAAACTGTGCTAGGTGGGTGTTGCTTTGGCCTTGAAACATTTCCTCCTAGAAGAAGGGAGAGATTCAAGAGAGCACTCCTTCATGACATATAAATGTGCAAGCTGGATACACTGCGGGGGAAGGAGGAGCAGGTGTTGATGGTGCAGTTGCCTGAGGTGCCCCGTGCCCCTGAAGGCTGCACTTCATACACGCTGCCACAATTAGTAAGCACACACGAAACTCTCTGGTTTACCAAGCTAAGGTAGACTTGGATGGACTCTTGGATGTCTCTGTCCTGCCTATCCTCTGGGTTGAATAGAAATAGGACTCCCCAGGAAGTCATAGATGGGTAGGGTAGGTAAACCTAAACCCAAGAAGCAGCGCAATGAACATGCCATGACAAGATGAGGAAATGGAGAGGTTTCAGCCCTCTGAGTGTCACTCTTGGCTGGAGAATCAAGGTTGTCCAATCTGCTGCTTCCAACTTCTGCAATCCAGCTGTGAAAGACAGAACCCGGGGCATCTCTCCTCACCTCCCATGATCCGCTCTGCTCTTCTGCTCCTACTCTCTGGGGCATCTGGCAGAGATTCATGTCAGTGGGCATGTCCTTTGTGGTTTCTACTCTTGGTTTGTTTCTGATTTGCTCAAGACCCTGAGGATACTTGAGCACGTGGAGGATCCTGGCAGAGTTGTGGTGCAGAGGTCAGTCTCACCTAGAGGTTTGCAAAGACATCAGAAAACCCAGGAAAGTCAATGACCATATTATCACTCACCCAACATTTGCCCACGAAGAGTTGACAGCCCTACCCGAAGGTCATCATGTAGACACCGCAGAGCAAACAAAGCCCAGAAATGTCCACCTCTTCCTCCCACCTCTTGACCGTGACAACAGAGAGCTATTAAGAAAGGTAATGGCCGGGCGTTGGTGGCGCACCCTTTAATCCCAGCACTCGGGAGGCAGAGGCAGGTGGATCTCTGTGAGTTCGAGACCAGCCTGGTCTACAAGAGCTAGTTCCAGGACAACCTCCAAAGCCACAGAGAAACCCTGTCTCAAAACCTTCCCACTCCCCCCAAGAAAGAAAGGTAATGTAAAGCAAGGACGAGGTGTTGGTCACTGGTACTGGCAGTTGGATGTAGGTGAGGCTCATCAACCTGACAGGTCATGAGTCTGACTGAAAATCAACTAGTTATCGGCTCATTTTCCACACGGTCTTTTGGCTGTATGCCAGAGGCATTACTCTACTGGTGTTTTAAGAGGAGGCAAATGAGGCTGAGTTATATTCCTTAATATGACTCAAGGTCACCAAATAGAAGAGAAGGGGACCAGTATATATGTGACTTATACAAAATGACACAATGCCCCAGTGTATTCATTTCTTATTTCTACACTAGTCAAACTTACTGATGTACCCCACAGCCTATTCTCTTCTGACTCCTGTAGCTTACTGTCACAATTCTTCCTATATCCAAAAAGCATGCAGCCACATACAAGGACCAGGACCTCTATTTTGAAAGCCTACCCTTCCTTCTTTTATTTTATTGGGCCAGTGTTACTGTGTAGCACAGGCTGATGGAGAGCTCATAATCTCCAGGATGGCCTTGAGGTCAGTGATGCTGCTCCCTCAGCCCACCACACTCAGGTGTCACAGGGATCAACACCCTCCAGATGATTATGCAGTCACTCAGACCAATGCCTTTCAGTGACCCCTAAGGATTGGACTTAGGACGGCTTCCCAGTCACTGACATGCCCCAGGACACTGAAAATATGGCTACCTTGATAGCCAATAATTTTTCCCCTGAGTGTTATCTCTTTGTTTCCACATAACCCCAAATGACTCACAATACAGGGGTCCAAATAACAGACCCCAGCATGGAAGCAACCCTGATGTTGCTTTCTCCTTTTTCTGTGGTAGGGTCTACATGACGCCTGGCTGACCTTGAACTCGTTATATAACAGAGGTTGGTTTTGACATCCTGCCTCATCCTCCAGTGCAGGGAATGCATGTGTGCTCCATCAAGTCTGGGTTATAAGCAGCACTGAAATAAGCTTCTAGAAGCTACTTTTGTCAGTCACCCCTGGTGGCTGATTACACAAAAACACAGCTCTCACTTTGAAGGGTATAGAAACAGTTTATTCTAGAGCCAAATAAGTGTTACCAAATACCATGTTCCATAAAATTTTTGTAGTAAGAGAACAAGATGAAGCCATATATAGAAACCCTTAAAGTACTGGTGTGAGGCAAAAGATGCCTTAGGGCAATGATTCTCAATATGTGGGTCACGACCCCTCTGGGGTTGCATATCAGACGTTTACATTACGATTCATAACAGTAACAAAATTAGAGTTATGAAGTAGCAATGAAATAATTATATGGTTGGGGTCACCATACATGAGGAACTGTATTAAAGGGTTGCAGCATTAGGAAGGTTGAGAACCACTGCCTTAGAGGGTAAAGGTGCTTGTCAACAAGCCTGACAACAGGAGTTTGATACCTGGGACACACACACACACACACACACACACACACACACACACACAGAGAGAGAGAGAGAGAGAGAGAGAGAGAGAGAGAGAGAGAGAGAGAGAGAGAGTCTGTATCAAAAAGTAAGGTAGAGAGGACTTGAGGAAAAGACTGGATATTATCTTCTAGCTTCAATGTTCAATTGTACACATACATGTAACCACAGCCAAATAAGCACGAACACAACATACACACCAAAACAATAACAACAAAAAGCCAACACTAGTGGAACCATCGGGGGGCAGGTTACATTGTGGGGGGATCTCTATTACAGGCCTCACACGCTCTCCAATGGCATTCGTAGCCTTTCAGTTGTTGAAAGCTAGAGGGTTGTTCAGGTAAAATACATAGGTGGATACTGACTAGGCATTGAGGGGACAGAAGACAGCTGCACTATACGAACGCTCCATCACCACTTTTCAGTTCATCAGTCTTGAAGAGTCTTTGACATAGGTGCAGCTTTTAAACCAAGCTTCAGCCGCAGACCAACCACCTCAGCACTCCAGAGGCAGGGACATCACAGCCACATGTGAGGTGAGACTAATCTACAAGCCGAGTTGCAGGCTAGCCAGCGGTACATAGGAATACCCCATCGGTAGGAAGGATGAGAAACAGGGACTAGAGAGATAGATGGTTCAACGGTTAGAGCGATCACTGCTCTTGCAGATCTCTCCAGTTCAGCAACCACATGTGACTCACAAGCTCCTGTAAGTCTAATTCCAGAGGAATCCTGACTCCTCTGGGTGCCAGGAACAGACTTGGCATATCTATATACAAGCAGTCACACACACACACACACACACACACACACACACACACACACACACACACACAGCTGCTTTTACTCAGAAGGCACGGTTTGTGTCTTCTTCACTTTGACTCTCTGTCCCAGTTCCTAACCTATTTCATTCCCAGCCTGGTTTTCAACTTGCAGTGATCCTGCAGCCTCTGCCTCCAAAGTGCTAAGATTACAGAACAGTAGTGTGCCACCACAACCTGCGTGGCTGCTTTAATAGGCAACTTTTGATTTTTAAACCTAGACTTCAAATCAGTACACCAGGGATTGACATGGGGTCAGTAGATCATTTTAACTATTCTCCTGCCTAATGTAATTCATTTATGGAATCTCATCCTCTGCTTTTTTGTTTTTTCCTTAAAATTTTTTTTCAAGAGGTGAGAAGTCTTAGTTAGGGTTTTTATTGCCGTGAAGAGACACCATGATAATGGCAACTCTTATAAAGGGAAACATTTAATGGAAGTGGCAGCTTACAGTTTCAGAGGTTTAGTTGTTATCATAATGCAGGGAGCATGGCCGTGTGCAGGCAGACATGGTGCTGGCTGCATCTTGATCAGAAGGCAACAGGAAGTGGTCGTGGTGTCACACTGAGGGAAGCTTGAGCAAAAAAAGACCTCAGAGCCTGACCCCACAGTGATGTCCTTCCTCCAACAACACCATACCTACTCCAACAAAGCCACACCTCCTAATAGTGTCACTCCCTTTCCGGTCATTTTCTTTTAAAGCACCGCACGGGGCTTAGATGGAAAAAGTAGTTCACTGGTTAGAGGGGAAAAAAATAAAGATTTACTTTTAACATTCAAAAAAATTTGAAATGTTATGTGTGTGCTGCCTGTCTGTGTCTCTGTGCACCAAGCAATGCCCCAAGGCCAGAAGGGTGCAACAGAGCCCCTGGAACTGTTCCAAGCAGTTCAAAGCCACCATGTGAGTGTGGGTGCCGGGAATGCACCACCGCGGAGCCGTCTCTCCAGCCCACCCGCCCTCTGCTTTTCGTCCTCACCGGTCTCTTCAATAGGCATACTCGATGAGGCTGGTCCTGGCCTGTCTGGCCCAAACCTCTTTGAAGCACCAATCTGCTTAACTGCCAATCACCTGTCTACCATATCCATAGGTCTCAGGGAGAGGCCAAACCTCCCATCAGGCCTCACATCTGCAAAAGATCCCAACAGTTACCTAAATTGGCAATAGGAATTGAATTAGGATTAGTTTTTTAAAAAAATCCTTTTTCTGTTTTCCGCTCCACCTCCAAACAGGGAATATGAGCAACGGAAATGACCGGAACACCTGGTCTCTGGGGCCAGCACCAAGGCTTATGTCTCAGCTCAGGTGACTGAGCCCACATTAAATATACCTATCTGTATCTCCTGGCTTCCAAGCAGTTCCTTCTATTGGTAATACTGCTTACGCTGACACAGATGGAGAACACTGTCCCCAGTTTGGGCCAAAACGTAAATTCATTTTCCCGTTTTCACTTACTCTCTGGAGTTTTCCCCTCTCGCAGGCCAGTGTTAGACCAGGATCCAGGGATCCAGTTACTCAAACACTACCGGATCATCGCTGCCGCCAGGCAATCGCGGCAATCAAGGCAATCCTAGGGCAATCGCGGCATCAAGGTCCTCGTCCTGCAGCTCCCGGCTCCCACCCGGGACGGGCTCCCGCAGCGCCCGCTCTCTGAGTCCTGCCCCGAACGTCCTGACTGGACAACCTTCACAGAGGAGCACGCTGGGAAGTGACAACACACAAAAGACGCGGAAACCCCGCAAGAACGGAAAGCCAAGGGCTCGAGCGACCCCCGCCTTATCCACGGCATCCCCCTGCAGTCGCTCGCTCGGCGCAAACCAGCGCTCGGCAGCACAGCGTCCGCCCGGCGCCGCCGCCACTCACCTCGCCCTGCACCTCAGAGAGCGCTGCGCACGGCTCGCCCGGACGCGACTTCCGCCCGCAGACACCCACAGTGCCAAAAGTTCGGACTCCAAACACCCCACGCTGTCCTGGCAACGATAGCCGAAGCCAGCTACCTAAAAATCTGAGCCGATGTGACCACTCTAGGCCACTTCCGATTTGAATAATGGTTCCTTCAGCCCATTACCACATCCCCCCTCGTGGATGACGCGCATGCGCACCACTGGCGGAGGCAATTCTGCCAACACTTACTATGGTTCGTGTGGTGGTTTCTGTTCTTTCAGAAAGTGTCATGGCCGCACCCACACTCCGATGTCAGGGAAGCCACCATCAAAGTGCAGCAGTTCCATACAGCCAGGCAAGATCCGTGTGTGGATTGTGATACAGTGAAAACCCAAGACTGTCTTACATTGTCAGAGGATTTATTTACTACTTGTTCATGTATCTCTTTCAAGAGACTGTGACACTACGTGTTACTAAAAGTACCCTTTCTCTGCATTTGATTTATGCATTTTTGCCTGCACGTTGAGTTCTCAACACCCAGGATATCTGCAAGAGCAACAAGTTCCCTTTGAGCACTGAGCCGCCTCTCCTTCACCTTTCATTTCACCAGAACTCAAAAGAGTTCTTATGTTTGAGATGGTCTCATTATGTTGACCTGACTGGCTTCGAATGGACCATGTAGATCATTCTGGCCTTGAGCGCGCAGACATTCCGTACCTCTGTTTCCTGAGTGCTAGGATTAAAGGTGTGTACCACCACACTAGTGCTTCCTGAATTTCAGTGATTGAAAACTATGTGGGGTTGTTAGGAACAGGAAGTGAAGTCATATGGAGCATTAAAGGTGAGAATCGAGATGAACCATCATGTATTACGTACTGGGGAGTATTTCATACTGGGAGTATCTCATGGTTCCCAGAGGATAGAAACCTGTTCTTACTTAGAAGTAAACTTTTCAAAGTTGCAAAATAGAAACAATGTACAAGTAGGTGGCCAGTGGAAATAATGGTAAATGGAGAGAGACCAGCCAAATGGAGAAAACACCAGCACTGTAATGAATAAATCATAGACCTAATGTAGAGTCATGAGAATAAAGTCAAAGATTGTGTGAATTATCTCCAGGGTTAACATTCTAGTCCTGGATGGTCTAGAACAGTGGTTCTCAACCTGTGGGCACAACCCCTTTGGCAAATCTGTATTTCCAAAAAAATTTACAACTCATAACAGTAGCAAAACTACAGTTATGAAGTAGCAACAAAAATAATTTTATTGTTGGGGGTCACCAAAACATGAGGAATTAATTGTATTTCATGAGGAACTGTATTAAAGGGTCACAGCATTAGGACAGTTGAGAGCCACTGGTCTAGAACTATGTGGACCAGGCTGGCCTTGAACTTACTCTGATCTTGTCTATGCCATTCAAGTGCTAGGATTGCAACAACATGCTATCATACCCAGCTCACAGATGATCTAGATTTTTCCACTGAAAAGAGATTACAGGAGTGATGATTTAGAAAACACAGTTTCATCCTCAAAGATACAGCTCCAGGAGTACCCAAAGAATAGGCTCAGCCACCCATCACCACAGGGCAAAATTATAGTAAACTACATGAACGTTAGTGTTGTGCAAATGTCAGTTTCTGCTCTTCACTTATTGCTACTTCTAAACTCATCATTATTGTTAGCTATATCCATTCATTTCATCTCAGGCACAATCTTGTCCTTCCAGAAGTTTTCCTTTCAGAAGTGACTTTTTTAGTCAATAAACCTGGCACTATGCCCATCCATCTTGCAGCCCAAACCACATTTAGTTCACCAAGATGAAGCACTTGCCTCATGGAGGTGAGGAGCCATTAGAGACTCTCAGAAGCTGAAGCTGCAATACGTAAAATCAGAAGTTAGTATCTGCATATAAGAGAGAACATGTCATTGTCTTCCTGAATTACCTTACCTATATTTTCCAATTCATTGTCCTGTAAATTTCATTTTCATGATCCACAAGATTCCATTGTATTTATACTACAGTTTCATTGTACATCCATCTAGATTGATGGAAATATAGACTGATTCCATTTCTTTGCTGTTGTGAAAAGATTTGCTATTGTGTAAACATGAGTGTGTCAGTATCTCTGTGGTATGGTACAAATTCCCAGGGTGTTTATCCAGAAGTGGTTAGCTGGGTCATGGGGTAGTTCCAGTTTTAGTAATTTTGGAATTCACCACTGAGGTTGCATAGTGAGATCCTGTCTCAAAATCAAATAAAATCAAACACAACAACAAAACCCCAGACTGATTTCATTAGGGTTACAACAATCTACATTCCCTCCAACAGTCAAAAAAGGCTCTCTTTTCTCCACATTCTCAGATTTGTTAACTGACAATAGCTGTTCCAGCCAGGGTAAAATGTTAGCTAAGAAGGTTAAACACTTTAAAAGAGTTGATTGTATGTCTTCTTCAGAGAATTCTGTTCAGTTCCTTATCCCATGTTTTCTTGTTTACTCTTCGTGTACAGTCTATGTCTTTTCTTTTTAACACTAAACCATGATTCATAGGGAACGGGCTACAGCAGCTTAGGCTCTTTTCTGTTAGTGTTCACAAAGTGTATTTCTTTGGGTGGAACAGGCTGCTGCTTCAGGTGAACCCAGTTATCCTCCTCTTTGACTCCCCCTTTTCTGATTACTTCCACTCACCCTGATTTTCAGGAAGTTATTTGAACTTTTTTTGTTGTTGTTGAGACAGGGTCTTCCATTATTGCCCTGGCTGTTCTGGGACTCATTGTGTAGACTACACTGGCTGCCTCTGCCTCCTGAGTGCTGGGATTAAAGACACGAGCCGCCACACCCGGCTCTGGATTGTGGTACTCCAACTTCATAGAATGCTGCTGCCAATGAAGGTACATATTTTAGAGCAGAAAAACAATATACATACAGATGTGGTTTGGTTTCTATAAAACAAAGAAAAGGAAGTTTATACAGAGATATGATTATTTGGATAGTGATGTATGTGTTACGCATTGGCAAATATATTCTGTGAAGAGCCAGAGAGTAAACATTTGTAGTTTAGAGACTACATGGTTTCTCCTACAACTACCCAATTGTACTAGTGGAAAAACAAAGCATCCCCAGAATGTGTACAAATGAATGTGGCTATGCTGCATAAAACTTTATTTAAAAATGAAAGCAAGCATGGTGGTGCATGTCTTTGTCCCAGCATTTGGAGACAGTGGCAGGTGGGTCTCTGTGAGTTCAAGACCAGCCTGGTGAGCTCCAGGCCTGCCAAGGCTAAATAGTGAGACTCTGTCTCAAAAAAAAAATCATAGGTGAGTATAAGTTATCCCAGTGGTTAATGGCACATATTGCTATACCTGATGACCTACCCAAGTTCAATTCCTAGGATCTGCATGTTGTTAGTAAAGAACTCCCACAAAATTGTTTTCTGACTTTCACACATGTGCCTTGGTGCATGCATTCATACAGACACACACACACACTCACACACACACACACACTCACACACCATTTACTGTCTCCTGTGTGCATTAGCAGCCTGCATGACACTATGAAGACGTCTTTAATGAGTCTATAATGAATAGTTAATTCTGTCTATGTAGCTCACTACAGATGGGTCACATGGAAAAGAGGTAAGCTGAGCTAATCATGAAAGAGAAAAGTTACAATACAAGGTAGTTTCAGCTTTAGAATTATGGATTTATCTCAAAAGGTACTTTCATATGATGAAAAGATTAATAATTATTGATAGTGAAGCCTCAAGATGGTACGAATAAGGGATAGACTGTCAATACACATTAAATTCTTGAAAAAAGAAACTCCTGTTAGGCAATGAATTTTGTGTCAGACCCCCACTAGTCTGAGGCAATATATTTGTAAACATTGATGTCATATAAACAAATAAATTCCAATCATACATATACACTTAGACATACTTTTGACAGACAACATCATCTTGTTATTTCCTTTCTTGCATTATAGAAATATTATTATCCCACAATAAACAGGAATATTGTTGATATAAAATCCCCAAAACTTTTCTAAGGTCTGGTAACAATATGTCTTTTGCAATTTTCTATAGAGAAACTTTTCTCAGCCCATTGCTTTAGGGTTTCCTCCTAAGATGAAATCCATAATCATATTACAAATGTCTCTCATGAATAATGTGTATAAACAAGCAGTGTATATCTAGATCTTTTAACATACAGAAGCTATAATGTACAATAAGTTCTTTTAAAACATTTTCTTCAAGCAATTTAAGGATTATACCTCACCTGGAAATATGTTTATGGACTATGAACTGATTTCTCTGAAAGGTATTTCACACAAAAACTGAGTCTGTAAGAACTGCGTCTGGTATGAGTTGCTTGGTATTTACTGTGACCTGACATGCTGTTGAAGGCCTTTCCACACTCAGAGCACAGCGGGGTCTTTCCCCAGTGTGAATGCGGTTGGGATGCACTGCTGGATGACTCCCCGCCCTCTCTGCATTTCTATGTGAGTGTGATGCTGGGCCTTCAGTGAGTATGATGCTGGGCCTTCAGTGGGTGTGATGCTGGGCCTTCAGTGAGTGTGATGCTGGGCCTTCAGTGAGTGTGATGCTGGGCCTTCAATGAGTGTGATGCTGGGCCTTCAGTGTGATGCTGGGCTGGGCCTTCAGTGAGTGTGATGCTGGGCCTTCAGTGAGTGTGGGCCTTCAGTGTGATGCTGGGCCTTCAGTGTGATGCTGGGCCTTCTGTGGGATGCTGGGCCTTCTGTGGGATGCTGGGCCTTCTGTGGGATGTATTACGAAACATATTTCCCACGGCATTCTTACGGTTTCTTGCAAGCGTGAGTCCGCTGATGGCATTTCAACACAGACTTCTGGAGGAATGCCTTCCCACATTTTTGACAGATAAAAGATCTCCCCCTAGTGTGAGTCATCTGATGCCTAGGCAAAGATGACTTATTGTAGAAGCCCTTCCCACATTCAGGGCACACATAGGGTTTCTCGCCTGTATGAATTTGCTGATGTGATGTCAATGCTGACTTCTGGACGAAGGTTTTCCCACATTTTTGACAGATAAAAGGTCTCTCCTTAGTGTGAGTTATCTGATGTCTATGCAAAGATGACCTGCCAAAGAAACCCTTCCCACATTCAGTGCAAACATAGGGTTTCTCGCCTGTGTGAATTCTCTGGTGATCTCGGAGTTGGCCCTTGGAAGCCAAGGCTTTCCCACAGTCACTGCATTCGTAAGGCTTCTCCCCAGTGTGTATTCGCTGATGTGTTCGAAGTACTGACTTCTGACTAAAGGCTTTCCCACACTCGCTACAAACATGGTGTTTTTCTCCAGTGTGAATTTTTGTGTGAAGATTGAGGGATGATCTTCGGCTGAAGGCCTTCCCACATTCAGAACATGCGTAAGGTGTCTCCCCAGTATGAATTCGGAGATGCTCTTTCAGTTGGGAGGAATTACTGAATGACTTTCCACAGTAGTTGCATTTGTAAGGTCTCTCCCCTGTGTGGATTCGATGATGTACTGTCAGTTGGGATGTATGACTGAATGATTTCCCACAGTAACGGCATTGATAAGGCTTCTCTCCGGTGTGAGTTTGCTGGTGAGATGTCAACTGTGACCGCTGAAAGAAGGCCTTCCCACATTTGTGACAGACAAAAGGTTTATCCCTAGTGTGAGTTATCTGGTGTCTCAGGAACCCTGACCTACCATGGAAGCCCTTGCCACATTCAGTGCACACATACGGCTTCTCTCCTGTGTGAATTCGCGCATGCTCTTCAAGTTGATACTTAGAAGCCAAGGCTTTCCCACAGACACTGCACTTGTGAGGCTTGTCCACTTTGTGAATTCGACGATGCACATTCAGCGTGAATGAGTAAGTAAATGATTTCCCACAGTCCCGGCACTTGTAAGGCTTCTCCCCCGTGTGAACTCGATGGTGCATCTTCAGTTGGGATGCATAAGTAAATGACTTCCCACAGTCGCTGCATCTGTGAGTACTCTTTCCCAGGTGAAGTCTCTGGTGCATGCTGAGTTCTGACTTCTGATTGAAAGCCTTCCCGCACTCGCCGCATACGTGGTGTATTTGTCTACTATGTATTTTCTGGTGAACCGTGAGACTTGACTTTCGCTTGAAGGCTTTTCCACAGTCAGCACACTCATACGGCTTCTCCTTCATGTGAGTCTGATAGTGCACTTTCAGTCGGGATGCACAACTAAATAGTTTCCCACAAGCAGTGCATTTGTAAGGCTTCTCCCCAGTATGAATCGTCTCGTGAGTGCTGAGGATTGACTTCTGCTTGAAGGCTTTTCCACACACAGGACACACATATGGTCTCTCCCCTGTATGAGTTCGATAATGTACCTTCAGTTGGGATGTGTTATTGAAGGATTTCCCACAGTCACGGCATTCGTAAGGTTTCTCTCCAGTGTGAATTCGATGATGGACCTGCAGGTTGGATGTACGACTAAATGATTTCCCACAGTCGGGACACTCATAAGGTTTCCCTGTGTGAGCTTCTTGATGGGCGGTCAACTCTGACTTCTGGAGGAAGGCCTTCCCACACTTGTGACAGACAAAAGGTCTTTCTCCAGGGTGAGTTGCCTGATGTTCACGGAAAGCAGACATGTCATAGAAGACCTTCCCACATTCACTGCATTCGTCTGCTTTCTCCTGAGAATGAACTTCCTGCTGTCGACGCGTTTGTTTATGGATGAGCATTTTTCTGCACCAGTTACCTCTGCATGAATTCTGTCCTTCATGAGGAATTGTACGGTTAACATTAGAAGAGTCTTGCCTGAGGCCCTGACCATACGTAACTTCATTAAGCTGTTTTGTGATATTGCTTTGATCTTCACCATTTGCTTCAAGGTTATGCTCCAAACCTTTTGTCAGTAACTTTGGAGCTCCCTTTTGTGTAGAAATAAGGTTGGACACCAAAGGAATGGTTTCTCCGGGCTCTTCACACTCATAATCTCTGCCTGTGCTCTGCCTTTTCTTGAGGAAAGCCCTGGGGCTCCAGGGTGGGGTCTGGTTTTGCTGTTCTCTTTTTGTGGTCTCAGGATCTTGCCACCGGTTTTCTAAAATAGAGCACCACAAACCATGTCTTGTGATTTCACGTGCCTTACTAGTTTGACATGCTGCGTTTTCAGAAACTTTCTGTCGAGCTGTGTAAAACTCTGATTCTGCTTCTGGGAGGAGAGATGAAAGAACATGCACAGTGAGCAGAGCTAACAGATGATGAGCACAGAGTATCTGTGAAGTATGGCAAACGAGTAGGACATTCCTACATCCCTTATGACATGCCAAACAGTAGGTGTAGGACACTTATCATACAGGGTGTATTCCTTATGATGGAAACACTCATTTTTACCCCCCAAACCATCCTATAAAGAATTATAACTACTCTTTCTGGGTTTTTTTTTTTTTCGAGACAGGGTTTCTCTGTGGCTTTGGAGGCTGTCCTGGAACTAGCTCTTGTAGACCAGGCTGGCCTCGAACTCACAGAGATCCGCCTGCCTCTGCCTCCCAAGTGCTGGGATTAAAGGCGTGCGCCACCAACGCCCGGCTACTCTTTCTGTTTTACAGATGAAGAAATACTAATATGAATACTTAGGTCAGTGGTAAAGATGGCTTCAATAATTTGTGGGGAAGACTGAACAAAAACAACACATTTGATTTATATAGGAGACCTAGACCCCCAAACCTTATAGGGTAAGATGTAGGGGAGGAAACTGATAAGGCTGTTTTAAGGTAGTCTCAGTGGACAGCAAAATGTTGAAAGAGAAAAGAGAACACTAGATCAGAGGACTTCATCAGTTCTAGAGAAAATTATACTTGTTCCTTTTGCCCATATTTATTCAGTTATGTGTTCATACACTCATGTGCCCAGCTCTCTATTGCTAGGAATGGAAGTCTAACTACATCTAGGAAGTCACTCTATACTTGAGCTACAACCTAAGATGAGCAAACTTTTCTTTTTTAAACATCAATTTACATATATTGTAGCCTTTCCTTACTTTTCCAATCTCTTACTGTAATATAAGAGTGGTTAAAAGCACTTGCTGCTTTTTCAAAGGACTAGAGTTTAGTTCCTAGTTGCTACATCAGTCAGCTTATAAACTGTTAACTCCAGCTCCAGGGGATCCAAATCCTCTTCTGCGCTCTGTGGAAACCCCCACAGATTCCGCATATACTTACACAGATACACACACATGCACACAAAAATAAATCTAAGTAAGAAAATCCTACAACCCTGATCAAATACATCTAAGGGGTATCTACAGAATATTCCATTCAACAGAAATGGAATACATTCTTCTCAGCAGCCTATGGAAGTTTCTCAAAAAACAGACCTTATGCTAGGTTACAAAGCAAATCTGAACAATACAAAAAAACTGAAATAACTCCTGGTATCTTAAAAGACCATAACGGAATAAAACTAGAAACCAACAGTAAGAGAAACCACAGATTGCTAAATGAGGTTGGGGCTCAAAAGGTGGCTCAGTTGTAAGAGTGCTGACTTCTTTTCCAGAGAACCCAGGTTCAGTTCCTAGCACCCACATGGCAACTCACAACTCTCTGTAACATAGTCCTATGAGATTAGATGCCCTCTTCTGGTCTCTGTGGGCATTGCATACAGATAGTGCAAGTACATATGTATGGGCAAGACACATAAAAAAAAATGAGATTGAAAACTAGCTAGCTGGGCTGGAGAGATGGCTCAGAGGTTAAGAGCACTGGCTGCTCTTCCAGAGGTCCTGAGTTCAATTCCCAGCAACCACATGGTGGCTCACAGCCATCTGTAATGAGATCTGGTGCCCTCTTCTGGCCTGGAGGCATATATGCAGACAGAACACTGTATACATAATAAATAAATAAAATAAATCTTTAAAAAAAAAGAAAACCAGCTAGCTAAACTGACAGAAAGAAGGCTCAAATTAATAAAATTAGAAATGAACAAGAAGCTATTACAACTAATTCCAAAGAAATACAGCAGATTACTGGAGAGTAAGTACTTGAAAATCTTGCATTAAAAAACTGGAAAATTTAGAATAAGTGGTTAAAATTGTAGTCACATATGACCTATGAAAATTAAAATCATGCTGGATGTAGTGACACATGCCTTTAATCCTAGCATTTGGGAGGCAGAGGCAGGTGGATCTCTAGTTCAAGACAAGCCTGGTCTACATAGTGAGTTCCAGGCCAGTCAGAGCTGTATATAGTGAGATCCTGTCTTGGAAAAAACAAACAAACAAACAAAAAACCAAGAAAATGAAATCAAGAAGATATAAATAAAACATTCATAAAAAGCAGTGATAAAAGCCCAAGACAGATTCATCCTGCCAAACCTTTAAAGAACCAAACATCAATACTCCTTAAAAGGAAGACAACTGTATGAAGCCAGTATTACCCTAATACCAAGACTGGGTAAGAACACAACAGAAAAAAAAGCGGGGGACACACAAAACATCTTAAGAAAAAATTTTCAAAATACAAACACATATTCAAGCACATACTAAGAAATGTCTTTGACAAACTGTGCAGGGACAACTGGATATTCAACGGAAAAAAATGAAACTATATCCTCGTCTTTCCTCCCTTCCTCCCTCTCTTCCTTCCTTCTCTTCTTGTTTGTCTTCTTCTCGTTTTCTTTTCTTTTCTTGTTTTTTTTTTTTTTTGAGACAGGGTTTCTCTGTGTACCCCTGGTTGTCCTGGAACTCATTCTATAGACCAGGCTGGTCTTGAACTCACAGAGATCCGCCTGCCTCTGTCTCAGGAGTGCTGGGATTAAAGGTGTGCGCCACCACTGCCTGGCATTCTTTTTTCCCCCCTCTTTCTTTCTTTCCTCCCTCCTTCCTTTCTTTCTGCCCTTTCTTTCCCTCCTTCCTCCTCCCTCCCTTCCTTCCTTTCCTTCCCTCCCTCCCTCCCTTTCTTCCTTTCCCTTTTTTGAAAGGTATCCTGACAGTCAGGAGTCATGGAAATACCACAAAGTCATACCACACAACAAACCTCACACAACAGATTTATTGGGAGAGATGCAAAAGGGTGACTGCCTCCATTTGGGAGCAAAGTAGCCTCTTTCCTTTTCTTAAAAAAATTTTATTTTATGTGTATGTTGTTTCACCTATAGCGCCTAAGGGGACCAAAACAGGAAGTGAAATACCCTAGAACTGGAATTATAGTTAGTTGTGAGGTGCCATATGGTACTGGGAACTGAACTCAGGTCCTCTGGAAGAGCAGCAAGTGCTCTTAACCCCTGATGAACAACATTAAACAGACTGAAGATTTTAGTGTAATGTATGAAATTTTGGAACTATTTTAAAGACAGATGCAGAACTCATAAAGATATAGGCATGGTTTAGGACTTCTAGGAAAAGACTGTAATAGCACAGGAAAAAAAAATCCCATGAATTGATAGGTGTGATTATACAAAATTAAAAACCTGCACAGCAGAAGAAACAAATCACCAAAATAGACAGTCTGTGTAATGGAAAAAAAACTATAGATTAATATGTAGACTATATGAAGAACTATAAAAGAATTAACACCCAAACATTAAATTCTCCAAGTAAGAAATAGCTAGTATATTTAATGAATACTTCTCAAAAGGCATACAAATGGCCAATAAGTATTTGAAAAAGTATTTAATAGTCACAGTGACCAGGGAAATGCAAATTAAAACTTCTTTCATATTCTAGCTCACTAGTCAGAATGACTATTACCAAAGGAACAAACAACAAATACACTTAACAAAGCCACTAAAGATGCCGGCGAAAGGTCCTCAAAGAACTACAAACAACTAGTATGACCCAGCCAGACCAACCTGCCTACATGCCTGAACACCAGCAATCATGCTTGCACAGCCATTATTTATTGCTGCACTAAGAAATGGAACCAGATGTCTCTCAACAGATGAATGTATTAAGAAAATGTAGAACATACACACAATGGGATTTTAGTTAGCCATAAAGAAAAAATGAAATCATGAAAACTGTAGCAAAATGGATGGAACTTGAGATCATTATGTTAGATGAATTAAGTAAGACTCAGACAAATACCACATTTTTCTTGCATGTAGACTCCAGATTTTAATTTCTGTATGTGTATATAAAGGTATGTCTGCATGTGTCGTGTGTAAATACTAAAGTAGAAAAAGGACTGGGAAAGGAGAAGGGGTCTTAAGGAAGAGGGAAAAAACGAGCAGCTGAACACATGTACCGTGCAGGCAGAAAGGAGACAGTCTGTGGCAAGGAAAGAGACCAGAAAGAGGGGACTGGAGACGGTCAGTGGGGAAAAGACCAGGAGATGAAAAAAACATAATGACAGACATTATAAGAACATGACAATGAAACTAATTTTAAAAATAGCCAATGTAAACAATCATCAACTGTGCAAAAAGCTGTGTACCTCACTAATGTATCTTATCAGTGTTGACACATCTGTCTGTCTGCTATCTATACTTATATCACACTGGGGAATGAATCACTCTACTACTGATATATCATATATATATACATATATCACATACATACACACATCCCCAGCTCTAACCATGATTAACATAAAAAAGGCCAGTTTCCTCCCTAATCAACACATTTATCCACCAACACATTTATCCACCATGCATTTATGTATTTCATCAACCACCACTAAGTTTCCCTCATATGCTTTTTGTTGTTGTTTGTAGACAAGGTGTACAAATACGAATCTATGTGTAGACTTTCCGGAGAATAAGGCTGAGTTAGTCAAGTTAGGTAACCTCCATGATGACGCAGTCTATACCCACGGTTCACCTCCGAGAGCCTTATCCGTACTCCTAGTTCATATTTACAAAGCTATAACATTAGTTGTAGGGAGCTGGGGTAGGAGGCAAGCTTGGTACCTACTGCTGTGGTCCATATTCGCAATGTACTGCAATGTAAGTTGTGGAGAATGACAGCAGGAAGCAAACTAGGTGCCCACCACTAGGGAATGGATACATGAAGATGAATGACCATGGCCCTCTAATGGCATCGACCTCCATCCAGGTCATAATCACTAACCTTGACACCAACATGGCGGATATGGGAACGTAGCCTCTCCCATCCATGTCTCCTTTCTTTTCTTTATCCTGAAGATGGTCCCAGAGCTGGGAATGGGGTACCCTGTAAATTGGAAGGATATTTGCTCAATGTGTAGTTTTTAGGTGTCAGAAGTCACCCAATGGGCTTTGCCACTGACTGATTGGAAAAATCAACATTTTGTAGTGGGCACAGAATAATTAATTTAGCATGCCAAAAAGTAATGAATTATCAGGACAACCCATGGAGAAAAGTCACATTTTTAAAAAATATCCCATCATGTTGTACAAAAAGAAGGGCGAAATATTTTCAATCCTGGATCCCCAGGCCAGCTGTGCTCACCCACTGCCAAGAGGTGGCTGTAGATCTCCAGCATCACGTCCTGGTACAGGCGTCTCTGGGCAGAGTCCAGGCGCCTCCACTCCTCCTGGCTGAAGTTCACAGTCACATCCTCAAAGGACACCAATCTCTGTAACAACGAAGCCAAGTCCATTGTGAGTTAGTCATCACATTACACACAGAAGTCTGGTTCAGTGATCCCTTTCTGTGACATATCTTTAGGCTTTCCAGAATATCTATTTCATATCATATGAATAATATATAAATATTTCAGAAGACAAGAAAGTTTATAAAAGTATCCTTCCATCTCTTGTACACTCAGATTTCTCTTCCCCACAGCAGCCAGAAATGGGTTGTCATACATGCTTCAAAAGGAATAAGCAGCGTGACACTTAGAGCCAACAGTAGTCCAGGCTTCAGGGAAGGCAGCTCATGGAGTGACGGACTGTCATGAAAGGTTGAGAACCACACAAAGGAGCACTCAGAGACTGAAGACTTTGCAAAACTGAGATGTTCTGCCCAAACTTTAAAACAGAGAATCGGATTGGAGGAGACAGCTCAGCAGGTAAAATGCTTGCTGCCCTGCCTGGCGATGACTTCAGTGCCCGGGATACATATGGGGAAAGGAGAGAGGGAAGAGTTGTCCTCTGCCTTCCAAACAATGCCCGGGCATGCACAAACCACTCCCATGGTAAATAAAAACAAAACCTAAAAAAAATTAATACTGAAAAAGTACAATGGAGGATCCGACCTGAATGACAAGATTTCCAGGAGGGGGAGCACACAGAAACTAAGCTTCTGATGTGAGTGATGTCCAGGAAGATAAGAAAGTGAATCCCAACGTACAAACTGAATCCAGCCAAAGATAAATGTAGCTAAAGATATGGCATTTCAAAGGCATTTCTCAAATGTGTGCATATACTTTGATGAATTATTTCATGCATAAATAATGAAATATGTACTATATTGTCAGAATATGGTCCAACAGGGGAGTCACGTGAAGCTAACTCTCAGTCCTTATGGGGAAACCCCAAGAAAACAAGACAAGAGCCTTGCGACCTCAATTTCTTCAAAAAACATGAAATTATGCTTGGAAAGTGTTTTCATGCTGCTCCTAGTGTAGCGGATAGGAGTGTGTCTGCTTCAGATTACTCATCCCAGCTCCCTACTGGGATTTGTTTATGTGTCTCTATGGAAAAGCATGGTTTTGCTGTGTGCAGCTTTGCTTGCCACGGGAGGCTTGCCCTTGTGACTGTCCTCTTTACTCATGTGACTCCACTTAACCCTCAGTATGAATCGTCTGATGCTCTGAATAAAGTTCAGTCTGTCTTGTTTATCAGCCACATTCTCCCAGGTCCCACCACCTGTAGAATGATAAACAGTTACATTTTGATTTTTGGCAAGGCATCATCAGACGTTCATAGTCTCCAAGATTTACCTGTCATGCATCCACATTAAACGAGCTCCTTCAAGATACTCACAAAATGACAGTGGCTATGAAATGGGACTAGAAAATACAGGATTGAGGGCTACGTGTAAACCTAAGCACCAAGAGGCAGGACAATGAGGGACATGAAAGACTAGGAGGTACAGGGACACTGGCCCTGTCTCAGCTGGAGGAGCAAGTCTGCCTCTAGACGGGGGAGCCCAGGACCTGCTACTTCCTGTGTGTGCCCTGCAGCTTTGCAGAACTGGACCTCAGAGAGTGACTGCTTACCTCACAGGACCCATCCTGCACCTGTGGGCTCAGTGTCGGGGACTCCTGGGACAAAGCCACGTCAGCAGGCATGTTCCCTCCCTTGGCCTCTTTGCTGGCAGATCCAATTTTCTCCGGAACTGGATGCTGGGTGAGTGTCTAGAGGTCCCTAGGAGAGCAGAGAGTCCAGCTGTGGTGAGGCAGAAGAATCCCACAGGCAGGATGACGTGGCCTGACTCAGGGGTACAGAGATAGTAGAAAGCCCCAGAGAGGGAATGACGCTGTGTCCTCAGTGAACATTTGCCACACATGAGATTCTGAGGGCGCAAGACAGTCAGTGTAGACACGATAGAACAGACACAACTCAGAAAAGCCTTCCTCTGGCATTGACCAGGGCATGAGAAAGAAAACCCAAACACCATAGTCTGGGGAGATGGTGCAGTGGGTAAGAAAGCTTGAGGACCTGAGTTCAAATCCCCAGCAACCTGAAAAGGGCAGGCTTGGCCTCAAACGCCATTAACTCCAGCTGTGTGTGGGACCAAGAAAGGAGTATCTTTGTGCTCACTGGCTATCAGCCTCGCTCCAGCTTCAGTGAATAAGGGACTAAGGGCTGGCAGTGATGGAGCAGGATGCCAATAGCTTACTCTGGCCTCAGTGCATGCGCACTGACAGACACATGTACTTATACCCACACCACGTAAAAACACCGCACACATCACACACATACCAGAAACCTACACAACTCCATCCTCTGAAATAAACACTAAACACCACAGTTAGGACTAAAGTTAAGCGAGGATTCACTGCAGCTCCAAAGTTCCAACGGTGAGTGGAGGCGGTATTAACCTAGTTGTTTCCAAAGTGAGGGTGCAGATGCACACTGTGAGCACTGGGTACCTGGAGTGATAGGAAGCTTGGCACACACTCGACACGTGCCTATACACACACAAAAACGAGCAAGCTGCCGCGTTGTTCCTTTGTCTGAGATTAGTCAGGTTGTCCACAAACATGCCACCCCAACCCCCAGTGTTTTGAGACACTCCTCTTGCAGGTCTGGAGCTTTCTATGCAGACCAGGCTGGCCTTAGACTCACAGAGTTCCACCTACCTCTGCCCCCTGAGCACTAGGACTAAAGGTGTGTGCCACCATGCCCAGGCCTCATGGAACTCTTTTAAGCGTGTCCTATGTATTAGTATAACCGTTTCCCCCAGGCACGACAAATAAGGCTATGTGCTGTTCCATAATGCGCCCTAAAAGGGAGAGTGGGGGTCAGTCTCATCTCTTCCCTACTCTAAGCCACACACGGCCCCCACTATCTCACGCAGTTCCTTGTGTGTTCAGCACCCAGAAACCTTTCTGGTTCTTCTTGCCTTCTCTATGTGGTACAGTGTGGTATGGTAATGGCCACTCCTGGTTCTTTCTGAATTTCTAGACATTTTGGTGTCCATGTACAGATATACCAACATGCTGGTTTTTTCTTAAATTCAGTGGTCCAATCCCTTCCCTGACTTGGAAACCCTCCACACAGTCACCAGGCCACAGAAACGCTCGTGGAGGCACACACAGCATTTCTTCCCTGTTCAGTGTCTTCATGGTAGACAGGATGTACTCACTGACATCCTGGCCTCTCAGTGACCTCCAATAAATATGTGGACCACAGGACCACCAAATTAAACATGGGCATGCCCAGTTCCGTAGAACATTACTACTTTGACAGCCAAGAAGTAGCCAGAGAAGCTATTTACAGGTTTCTAGAGAACCTTCAGTAAACTCAACAGGGAGGCCCAAAGAACACCCCTAACAGCAACATTCTGCTCAAATGTCAATCACCTTGCTGTGGCAGCATGGTCCCCAGCAGAGGCCAGCACTGACCCACCTCATCTTCGAAGAACTGCAGCCCTCGAATAACATGGACTCAGGGATTAGGATTTACTTTGCATCTCAAGCTCCTACAGGAGGTGGCATGCCGGGAATGATACAGTCCTGTCCTGGAAGTCCTGCTGTCTGCACAAAGGCTCCTCATCTCCCAGCTCTGGTGACTGAGCTCACGGCTAAGTGTGCCTAAGCGTACCACCTGGCTTTTGTTCCATGTATTCTTAGTATTAGCTAGACCTGCGGAGAAGCCACAGGCTGACTGGGAATGGTTGGTCCTCCCGAATCGAGCCCAAACCACGAACAAACTCATTTTCCATTTTAATTCTACTTTTCCCCGCCCCTTCTCGCAGGCCACTGCTCGGCGCGAAAGCAGCGCGATCGCCCTCACAGACACCAGCGCTAGACTCGTGGTGGGCTCCACCGCCTCGCTCAGCAACCCTGCTTTCCCGACTCCCACGGGACGCCCTCCCCAGCTCCACTGCGGCATCCCCCTGCGGCCGGCCGCGTCAGCGTCACTCAGCACAAACCAGCGCTCGGCAGCACAGCGTCCGCCCTGCGTCGCTGCCTTCACCTCGCCCCGCACCGCAGAGAGCGCTGCGCACGGCTCGCCGGTGCCCCGCGACTTCCGCCCGCTGAAGCTCAGTGTCGAGAATCCAAACTCCGGTGTTGTCCGGGCAACAGTAACAGAGCCGAGAAGCGTCAAGATTTAAGCGGATATGACCGCTCCAGACCACTTCCGTCTACTGTGAATCTATGGTGCTAGACCCCCCAACCCCCTCAGGAGGATGGCGCAGCGCATGCGCACCACCGCTTGTGAGGGTACATCCTGCTAACACTCATCTTGGATCATCAGGTAGTTTCTTTTCCGTCAGTAGTTGTCATGGCCACTTCCATAGTACAGTGAGACTGCCATCAGTTCCACACAGCCAGGCAGGGTTTGTGGAATGTGATACAGTGAACGTCCAAGGCTGTCTCACATGGTCAGGGACTTTATTTCCTACCTGTTCGTGTGTGTGTCATCTATTTCTAAGACACTGTGACATTACATATTACTAAAATGTACTAAATATTACTAAAAATACCATCTCTCTGTATTTTCTGAAGGACTTAACATTTTCTTTTTTTCCCCTGAATTAAAGAGAAAACTGGGCAGGGTTGTTGGGAGATGGAAATGGCAGCCACATGGACTCTTAAAAGGTAAGGGTGTGAAATGAATGTGATACCAGGGCATTCAGTGGTCACCACAGGTGGGGAGATCTGTTGTCAAGAGGTAGCTTTCATTGTCTATTGTCTACTTATTGTGTGCTTTGCATCTATAGAAAAGTGTAGTGTTAGTGTTACGATAACTCTTCCTGCCAGCCTTGTCCCAGTGCTGTGCCAGCCCCAAGTAACACACAGAGACTCTAATAGTTATAATGCTGTTGGCCAATAGCTCTGTCTTAACTACTAATATACGTATTTTTATAAGGCCTTATCTTACTGAGAATGCCAGAGTCATGTGTCCTCTTTTCCCTGGCGACTTCTTTAACACATAGAGTGACTAGATGTTGTAAATAGGACTCCTTTGTCCTTTACATATACTATGTACACAGCAAAACAAAACAGGACAGTGGTTTCTTTTCCACCCATGGAGCACAATGACTTAGAGCTCTATATTTTCTTCTCCTGGAAGCCAGGGGACAAACACAATGTGGTCAGCTCAGGAGGGCTTTGTGGAGAGAAAAAGCTAATGCTCTTACACTTCAAGGCTTAAAGAAAGGTTATAAAGCTCCCCAAGGTAAGATTCTTGGTTGAGGGTCTTGATGCTGATACAGAGACTCAAGCTACATATGACAAACACATCTTGTCTCTATGACATACAACAGTTTTGAATGCTTGGGAGAGAGAATTGAACCATATACCAAGGTGTAACAGAATTGGAGGGAAAGTTATGCTACATTTTTACAAAGATTGTCTAGAGCAGTACAAATAGGGTTAGCAGATCCAGAAGCTAGGCAAAGACTCATAGAATCTTAAGCTTATGAGAATGCGAGGATCCACAATGCAAAAAGGTGATTTGGCCCTTAAAGATCAGATCAATACCATTGGACGAATGAATCCTACACACAACCAACATTGAGTATAATGATTATGACACTGAAGCATGGGTAGAAGAAATAATCTCCAAAGGTTTGAAAAGACACCAAAATACCAGATGTCTTAATTGGGTCACAGAGGACAGTCTGGGTGGATCCTTAGAGCTGGAACCTACAGTGGTCACCTGCCTCTTTTGTAAGTATATTCTCCCTGAATAAACTTCACTTAACCTGTACTAAGTCTAGTGAATCTTGATTCCCACACAATAGTGTAGAGCTGGTTGGAAGGGGGGAATTATGGTGAATGGGGAGAGACCAGTTGATAGTGAAAGTGTCCAGTACAGCAGAGTGACTGAATCAATGGGCCAAAGTAGAATATTGGGATAAAATGAAAGATCATTGCAGCATCTTCAGGTTAACATCTTTTAGCTCTGTGTAGACCAGGCTGGCCTTGAACTTGCTGTGGTCCTCCTGCCTCTGCCTCCCAAGGGTTGGGAGGGATGCCTGCCTTCCCAGATGACTGTAGAAGTGGTGCTCTTGTCACCAGATCTTATGCCCAAAGAATAGGCTCAGCCACCTATCACCACATGTCAAAAGTATAATAAAGCATATAAAAGGTAATATCATCAAATATCAATTTCTGCTCATTTGTCTGCTACATTTCAGCATATCATTGATAGCCACAACTACTTATTGCAGTCCAGGCACTACCTTACTCCCCCCTTTCTTTTTGCTTTTAAATTTAATTTAGAAACAAGCTTGTTTTACATGTCAGTCCCAATTCTCTCCCTTCCCTCCTCCTCTGCCCCTCACCGACATGGCTTTGAATCTGTGCATACTGCTTCAGTCCCTACAAATTCATATGGGTGCCAGTCCTGCTTTGTTTGGAAGGCCTTCCTTAGTGTCATCTATCCCCTCTGGCTCTTCCAATCCTTCTCATTTTTGCATAGATCCCTGAGGGGAGGGGCTTTGATGATGGCATCTGATTTAGTACTGAGTTTTCCAGGGTCTCAAAGTGAGGAAAATTTTTGAAGGGTAAAAAACAGCTTTATGAACCTAAGAGAAATTGCTGAAATGGAGGAATTCAAGGAAACCAATACGTATTCCATTGTAATACCAAAATGAAAGACATAATATAATCAAGACACGAATTATCCAAAAATTGATTTATTAATTCCCAGAAATTGTAGACAAAATTTCAGTGAAAATTTCAGATGGCTAGTGGTGCACGCCTTTAATCCCAGCACTTGGGAGGCAGAGGCAGGTGGATCTCCGTGAGTTCAAGACCAGTTCAAGGTCAGCATGGTCTACAAAGCAAATTCCAGGACAGCCAGGGTTGTAATACAAAGATACCCTGTCTCAAAAAACCAAGAAAGGAAGGAAGGAAGAGAGAAAGAAAGAAGAAAGAAAAATTTCAGACACACAGATACAGAGACAGCTACAAATTGAGAAACTAAATGTAATGTTTATGGAGTATAAGCAGGAAAAAAGTCTAGAGAATTTTGAACATCGTGGAGAATTTGCAATGAAGCCACTGAAGTAGAGGCCTAGGGCTGCTAACCCATTCTCAGTGGCCCACAGTCATTGTCTACACAGTTGGGAAGTGTTTCCCCCAATAGCAGCAGGAGACAGCTCTGGTGTCTGCCAGCATTGACGTTCCCAGCTGGGGAGTCTCCACTCCAGGTCGTCTGAGAACAAAGCACCAGAGGTATCTGTTTCTGTTCCTATCTTGTCCAGCATGGCGTCTTCAGAGTCTTGGACTTCCTCCTCTGAGCACTCAGAAAGCTCCAGGCACTCCTCCCCACTGTTTGTCTCCTTCCCACCCCCTCCAATATCACTGCCTCAAGAAAGGCTCTTGGGTGTGGTCAAAGGGGACCCATTTTTCACTATGCAGAAAATAGCACCCGGTGGGAAGGATGATGACAGGGGTGAGGGAAGAAGGGTAGTAGAGTTATTTATGGTGCATGCTGTAAAGAGAAGCCTTCCCGCCAGCCTGGTTCCAGAGCCACATCAGTCCCAAATAACACACTATATTAATTATCAAGCTGTTGGTCTTGCTTGTTTCTTACTGGCTAACTCTGACTTGATTATCTATCCCATAATTGTTAACCTAAGTATTTCTCTTACCGGAGAAGTTTCCAGGCTTCTTATCCCTATGGCAGTTACATCTTGACTTCCTGTGTTTCTCCTACCCAGAGTCCTCCTGGACTCCTAGTCCCACTTATCTTGGTTCCCAATTGGTCAACAGTGCTTTATTGACATATACACAGGACTTCCCCATCAGCATGCTGTTCTTCAGGTTCCAGAAGTGGACCTCAGTGGTGGGTGGCTGGTCTTCAAGAAGCAAGGGTCCTGGCAGTGGCTGGGACTGAAGCTCCTCCTCCCAAGGCAGCCACTGTCCTGGCCTCACCCCTGCTTCGGGTGGGGCTTCCTCCAGGCCTTGCAGCTCTTAGTTCCTCAGAGAAGAGCCCAGACAGACAGACTTCTGGTGGCCCTGTGCGTCAGCTTGACATGCTGCTGCTGCTGCTGCTGCTCTGGGGGGTGAAGGGGGTACAGGGTGGGAATGAGGCCAAGGAGGGTTTCACCCTGAGTGTGGAAAGGGAGATAGTGGTTCAAGAGGGCCTGTGTGTCTTTGTACCCTGTGAGTTCTCCTACGCCAGGGAGAAGTGGACTGACTCAGACCCGGTTCGTGGATACTGGTTCCGGGATGGAGACAAGACAGATCGTGATCCCCCAGTGGCCACAAATAACCCACATCGGTCAGTACTGAAGAGGACCAAGAACCGGTTCTTCCTGATCGGAGACCCACAGAAGAATAACTGCTCCCTGAACATCAGAGAGACCAGGAAGAAGGACGCCGGGTCATACTTCTTTCACCTGGAGAGAGGACAAACGAAGTTTAATTATCTTTGGAACATGATAACTCTGCATGTGACAGGTCAGGCATGGCTCGCAGAGAAGCCACTAGGGAAAGTCATAGGTGTCACAGGGCAGGGTTGGCACAGGACTGGGAGTCTGAGCATCAGGGCTCAAGGGAGGGGCTGGATCAGAGCCGGGGCTTCCCCTGAAGCTGCACCTCACCCCCTCCTGATCCTCCAATTCTCCCCTCTCCCCACCAGCCCTCACTGACACCCCCTACGTGCTTTTCCCGGAGACCCTGGAAGCTGGCTATCCCAGCAACCTGATCTGCTTTGCGCCTTGGGCCTGTGGGTCCCCCACCTTCTCCTGGGCCGGTACCTCTGTGTCACTCTCCAGTACCAACACCAATGGTTCCTCAGTGCTGACTGTCACCCCCCAGCCCTGGGACCATGGCACCAACCTCACTTGTCAGGTGACCCTGCCTGGATCTGGTGTGACCACAAGAACGACCATCATTCTCAATGTGTCATGTGAGTCTGGGGTTGGGACACTGTGTCTTTGATGGATAGAAGTCCAACGGGACAATGGGGATGAAATTAAGGTCTTACACTGAGTCATTGAATATGAATATGGGCAGATCAGAACCTGATGGAACCACACCATCCTCACCTAGGAAGTTACTGGGGCCAGAGGAAGGGTGTCCACCTTGACTTTTCACTAATGAGTCTATTGTGTCATCCTTTCTCAGATGCCCCAAAGAATCTAACCTTGACTATCTACAAAGGGGTTGATCCAGGTAAGAGAAGAAATGCTGGATGGCAGATGCAAGACCTATTCATCAAAGGGTAAATCCTGTCCTTCCCTATACTAGATTTACTCTGGATACAGCAACCCCTTACAGGGAGATGGTGTCTTCTCCCCAACTGAAACTTTATTGGCCATTTGAGCATATGTCCCCAAATCCCCCTCACTACCTAGGAGAGCTGGACATTCACCTTGGCCACAACAGCACAGGGCAACACTAGCATAGCCAAACAGTCAGAATGTCCTTCTCAGCCATCTTCTGAACCAGCCTCCATCTTCAGCTCTTTCTTCCTCTGTATCTTTTATTTGAGTGTCTGGGGAAAGAGACAATTCCTCATGGATATATTCAGAACATACGGTGGGTGGTCTGTACCCCGAATTTCACTCCCCTCTCAAGGTGTGATCAGTGTCTACACAGGCTCAGTTGAGCCTATATTTGTCCATCTGAAGGTATGAGAAGGAATTCGATGTTAAGAGCTCAGATGGTTTTTGTTCTCCAAGACTTTGGTCAATCATATATAAATGAACTCTGACTCTAAGGGATTCCTGTATTAATAGGCAGCCATGGTACTAATTTCATTATCTCAACAGAAACCCACAGTAAATCTATGCTCACAAACGTGTGCTGATCTGTGGAATAAATTCCAATTTTGAGAGAATTAGTAGGATATTTCCCATCAAGATTATTATTTGAGCACTGTGGGATGAAACATGTGTTTTTTACAGCCTCACCTCCCATTGGTGCTGTGTGACCTCCCATTGGTAACTTTATCAATAGAGAATGACAATGGAAATGCCTATGTGGTTTTTAAAAATATATTTGGTCTTTCACAATTTTATACACACATACACATATATACTTTGCTATTATCCATCCTCTCTTATCTCTTTCTCCCTCCCAAATGAAACCATTCTTATCAAGTCCCCTCCTGCTTTCATGTCTTTTGTTTGTGGCCCACTGCATTTCATTAGGGTTACTAAAATGATCAAGGGGTGGGGTTATTTATGTGAGCAAGGGCAATTTACCAGTGGCTATAATTCTGAGGACTATGACTTTCCCCCCTACTCTTCCGCCACTCCCTGTCAGCAACAGTAACTTCTCAGAGATGGGTAGAACTTCTGAACCACCTCCCCCATCCATTGGAAGGTTGACAGGCTCTGTCTAGTGTAGGTCTTGTTCATATAACCACAGTTCATGAGTGAAACAACCATGTTATATCCAGGAGACTGATTCACAGCATTCCTCTCTATCTGCCTGCTCTTACATCTCTCCTTCCCTTCTCCCATGATGTTCCCATGGCCTCCATATTATTTGATAGACATTTCTCCTGTGTGAATGTCATACTTAATGGTATAGTCCAAATAAAACTTTTTTCTTGAGACGAGGAGGTATAGGTATGTAGCTCAGCCTGACATTGAGCTGTGATTCTCTGAGAGGTGGGATTCCAGGTCTGTTTGCACCACCATACTCATCTCAGTCACTGTTCTTTTATTCCTGGAATTACTATGAATACTCATTATGTAGATTTTAAGGGTTATTCACTGTTTTCTATTTAATCCTGAACAATCTTTCCAAGGTATAGAAATGACCACTTCCTTTTGAAATGAATTATAAATATACTTCACACTTTCCTAATTCCCTTTTCCTTGAAGTTCAGTAGATTATAGAAAGCAGAAGGAATTTTCTATAGCACATTGACCTAGTCATACATGTTACAATTTCCACATGTGTCAGTGACTATCTATATTTGCCCTGTGTTGATGAGCCATTTGTCAGCGCCAGTCTATGTTAGCCCCACATTGAGGGGTCATATATCACAGACTGATGTCTTTGGGGCTGTGATCAGAACCAGCCAAATGGCCCCAGGTACGTTCCTGAGTGGGGGAGTGTGGATGAGGGAAGGCAGGCTATCCCGCATTAAAAGAAAAGACAAGACATCTGATACCAGGAGGGCGGTCAGTTAACCCTGAAAGCCCCAGTTTATTGATGCGTCATTTTACGTAACCATCCGAAGGTGGGGGCGATGGCGAAGACATCTGTCATCATGTAGAAAGAGCTGATAGCAAAAAATGATTTCACTAGCCTTCGGGGAAGGTGTAGAACTCACCCTGGCCCAAATCTATTGTTATTTAGATAGGAGCCATTCTCCCCTGAGTCCAGGACATATTGCAGCTATTAGCTGACATACTTATGACAAAGAAATCGAGGCTCTCCTGAACTTGTGGTAGGGTAGAATAGATTTCCAAATATATGGACCCTGACACACATGTGAGTTTATACACACACACACACACACACACACACACACACACACACACACGGCATGCACACACACACACACACACACACACGGGGGGGTAGGGGAACCACTGGGACCCATCAGAGGGCTGCCTGCACACACACACACATGGCAGGCACACACACACACACACACACACACACACACACACACACACACACACACACACACACGGGGGGGGGTAGGGGAACCACTGGGACCCATCAGAGGGGTTGCCTGCATCTGTACCTATGCGGCTGCATCCACACAGGAATCCACACCGAGTCTCTGCTCATCAACTTCTGTGATCTTCTTACTTCTCTTGACTTCTTTGTCACTAATGACTCCATATTTCTTCCTCTCCAGCAACCACAGCTCTGAGAAATGGCTCAACATTGACTTTACTGGAAGAAGAGTCCCTTCGTATGCTCTGTACTGTTGACAGTAACCCTCCTGCTAGACTGAGCTGGGCCTATGGGAACCTCATTCTGAGTCCCATGCAGTCCCCAACTCCTGGGTTGTTAGAACTACCTCAAATGCACCGGAGATATGAAGGAAAATTCACCTGCTCTGCACAGAATGTCCTTGGATCTCAGCACATGTCTCTGAACCTGCTCTTAAAACGTGAGTGTCAAGGGACTGCTAATGGAACCTCCACCCTTCAGAAGGATCCAGGGTTCCTGGTCACTGAACAGCAAGGGAAGAGCGTGGGCCCCCCTCTGCCTTGCATTAGTTCGCTTCTGTGTGCTTGAGGTTCAGGATGTAGGGTGGAGTACTCCTGGGATCACATGGTCTTAAGTTCAGGGATGAGGGGGCATTATAGGACCTGATCCTACTGAGGGAGGAACGTCTTTGGGCAGTGGTTAGCCCATGATGCTAGCACTGACCACATTTTTACAGGGACATCGGGGCTGATGGCAGAGGTGGTTCTGGTGGCTGTGGTAGAGGCAGCTGTTAAAGTCCTGCTTCTTGGGCTGTGCCTCATTTTCCTCAGGTGAGAGCCACCTCTGAGAGAGGGAGAATGTATGGGGAAGAAGTCTCCTGATGCTAAATACCAGAGTCACGGTACTGGGGTGCTAGAAATGGTCTGGGGTGTGGGGAGCGGTAAGAGGATTGCAGGCAGTGAGAACTCCACAGATGCTGACCCCAGCTGTCACTCACCTAGGAAGAAGTTGGTCTCAATAAGGATATCTTGGGATAGTGCATGTCTCTCCTTCAGCCTTTGATTAGGACACAGGGGAGGCGGCTGCCTGAGTGTCCTCTGAGAAGTCCCTGGTCTGTTCACTCAGAGTGAGATCTCCTAGGAGAAGACAACAAGGGCGGCAGTGCACAGGGACTATGCAGACATGACCATCAGTTAGTTTCTCAGGTGAGTGAAGTAGATCCCTGCGCCTGTCTCACTTCCTTTTGCACCTTCCTTGTAATGACCATAGACTGACGTGCCAGGCTCAGCATGGCCACAGCCCGCTGCTCAACCCCATCCTGAACCCTTGTCCCTGCCAAGCACCATGATGCTCCTGGTCTCATCAGATCCAGGGGTGGCTCTCTACTCTACCACCCTTCTCCCTCTCTCTGTCTCTCTGTCTCTCTGTCTCTCTGTCTCTCTCTGTCTCTCTCTCTCTCTCTCTCTCTCTCTCTCTCTCTCTCTCTCTCTCTCTCTCTCTCCTCTCTGTCTCTCTCTCTCTCTCTCTCTCTCTCTCTCTCTCTCTCTCTCTCCTCCCTCTGGACCAGCCTTACCTCTTTATCTACCCGAGTTCTGATCATCTCTGCATCTTTGGTCCTCTAATGTTCCTAGTCACAGAATTCCCTTCATCCACTATCTCTATGTTCTTGACCTGGCCCTCAAGAATGAGCTTCCTAATGCAACCATTGCCCACTTCCTCCACTACTACCTGAGCAGCCCTGAACCCTTACCGTAGATGGAGACAGACAGACATCACAGCCTACTGTGAGGCCTTGCATGGTCTAGGTGCTGCTGGACTCTTTCCCCCATGTTTTCTGTTCACTGCATCATGAGTTTCACACTTAGCCTTTCCCGCCCCCTATACTGAAAACTGTATGAGTCTCCACGCCTCAAAGCCCCTCCCCAACCTCTCCCTCCGCCTCAGCCTCTAGCCGCATATTACTCTGGGTAGGCATGTGCTTGTCATACATGAGCCATTTTCCTGGGTGCCTGGCATACCTCAGGACACAGACCTGCTCCATTCTGTTACAAAGATCGACTGATGTAAAGATGAGAACAGGAATAAAGACAGGCAATGAATTAGGACACGTCAGCTGGAGATGTGAGTGGGCAGACAGCTGATGCGGGAGAGGCTGGTGATGCGAGCGATGCTTGAAAAGCTCTCAGGGTGAGAGCAGACAGCCTCTTTGAGTCTGTTGGAGGAAGATGCCTCAAGGAGATGGGCTGCGGAACAGTGTTCCCAATGGCTTGGAGGCAGAAGCTGGCCTGCAGTGTGGTACTCACAGAAAGAGACTGAGATTTAGAGCAAACGGAGGCAGAGGGAGGGCAGTGGAAGATGCTAGCCCATCGGGCACAAGAAGAAACAGGCACCTTTGAGAGAAGCAGAGCTGTGGTTGCATTTTCATGTCAATGAATCCCAAGACTGGTCTGCTCAGAACATGCCACAGTAGGTCCTGTACAGCTGAAAGGAGAGTGTGTCTGTCACTGTCATCAAATGCCCGAGGAAAACAATTCACAAGGAAGAAAGGTTTGGCTCTTGATTTCATAGGTTTCATGGTCATGCACCCTTGCCACGAGGCTGTGGTGACATATCACACCGTGGAAGGGACATGTGTTGGAGAGGCAAAAGAGACAGAGAGGAGTCAGCTAGGGTCCCAAGATCCATTTCAGGTGCACATGCCCAGTGACCTCGATGCTCCACTAAGCCCCTCTCCCTACACTTTCCATCATCTGTATCACTGGTGACTGGGTACCAGTCTTTAACATACAAACCTTCGGGAGCAGTGGACCAAGGCTATACTGAAGGGGCAGGGCTCCTGGAGGAGGTGCAGTGACAGGCATCTGGCAGGCCACATGGGGATGTGCCCTGCCACAGGCAGAAGCTCAGGCCAACAGAGATCTAATGGCTGTTGACAGTGAGGGGCAGAAAAGAGCTGGGGCTGGGTCAGATGCCTCCTGGACACCAGGAATGGGGGTCCTGATCCCACCAGTGTGAAGGGAAGGTGTCAGTTCTGAGTGGTGTCCTCCATGCACATGGTGATGTCAGCAGGGCTGTGTCAAGCTTGTGGAGGGGGGACAGGGTCAGATTCAGTGTGCCAATGCCATGCTGGGAAAAGTGATGCCCACAGGGGCGGGAACAGTGAGCACAGCCAGCCAATGAGAAACACAACTGTTCCCAAGGACCTTAGCAACAGCAAGTGTTTGCTTATTAATTGCGATAATTATTTGAATTGCCCTTGGGTATTTTCACAAAGTATTGTCAGCTTATTAAAGAAAACGTAAAAGCTAAAAATTAGAGGTTAAAAAGAGATGGATCAAAGTTGAAAATCACTTACTGCTCTTTCGGAGCACTCCAGGTTTGGTTCCCAACACCCACGGGTTGGGTCACAACCTTCTGTAGCAAGCAGTTCCTGGATTTCCTTTTCCGGACTCCTCAGGCAGCAGACGCACTTGTGGTGCACAGACATATAGGCAGGCAAAACACAAATAATTTTATTCATGCATAAGCAAAATTTTAAGACTGAAAGTTAGTGTCCTGGTGCAGAATGTTGCTGGTGGCCATGTCCGAGAGCAACAGGTGGTAACTGAGCTTCAGGAGCTCAGCACACCAGAACCCAAGGCTCTGGTAGTGAATCTTGGATAGGCAAGGCACTATGTCTCTTGCTACCGCTGTGCCATTACATGTTTGCCACTGCCATTTTTCTCTGGAAATGGCATGGGATGAATGGGTGTGGGGGGATCCCCCACTGCCTTTGATGCCGTGTGATTATCTCATGGAAAAATCCCCGTCTGCTGGGCATTTTACCCGTGGGTTAGTATGAAGATGATTTCCTCTTAAGCTGTACTGTTTAACTGAAGTAAGGATTTTATACAATAATAATGTTCAATAGAATTTTGATGATTAAGCGTTTTTTTTTTTTTGGTTTTTGAGACAGGGTTTCTCTGTATTGTTTTGGAGGCTATCGGTCCAGCCTGGCCTCGAACTCACAGAGATCCTCCTGCCTCTGCCTCCCGAGTGCTGGGATTAAAGGCGTGCACCACCACCGCCCGGCCCGATTAAGGGGTTTTAACAAATGTATTAAAGGATTATGACAGAGGTTGGTTTAGTGGAAAATTTAATATATATAGGTAAAAGTACGATACAGTGTTGTCCCCACCTGTGATAAAGCAGGAGCTGCAGAGGATAGAAAATAGGAAAGTGTCACACAGCTAGGACTTACAAGTTTTTCTTGCAGGTACTGTGGCTTATGTTAATGACTAAGGAAAACAAATGAGTCCCAGGAGCCAGGCTAGCTCAAGATCTTTTATTCTTAACATTGGGAAATGTAATCATGGGTTTCAGTGTGCACCATAGCCAAAACAGATCTTTAAATAATGGCTTTATGTAACTAAAAAACAAAGAATTGGATGGCTAGTTAAGATAACTGGATGGGACTCTAAAATATAAAACACGAAACTGGTAACCTGTTTTTCTGGCGATTATAAAAACTACTGCCTGTGTAAACAGTTGTTTCTGGAGGGCCCTGATCTGAGAAGTCTACAGGAAGAAAGTGTGACTGAGTGTGGGTTGGCCCAGGGATGTGCTTAAGAAGGTAATGGGCTGGACCTGCTCCAGAAAAACATGTTTGTGTGGTGATTATGTAGTAATTGTGTTACTTCTGGCTTGGGAAAAATTCCTCTTTGTAGTAAACTTGGGGAATATAGAAGGGGTTTCTGAAAAATAGAGATGAGAGAGAGACCCTCAAGGTGTGTGTCTGTGCGTTCCCCTTGGAGCCACTCCCAGAGAATTAAGCTTTACTCCGTCATTTAGAAAGGTCAATTGGGGGATTAGACCTCTGACTCTGCGACTCTCCTTCAATTCCTGAAACGGTGAAGGCTGGTCCTCCCAGCAGCAGAATGTGATTTTTGTGGACATTCACCACTTCCTTTTATCACCATTTTTAGTTATGCTCTTGACAGCTAGGAGTTGTGCTTATTTATAGTGAACAGTGTGGTCTCTGAAGTAGGTGTTTGCTGTACGTGAGTCTGTGTAACAAGGCTCGCCTCACACCCTCATTCACAAACACTTTGACACTTGTAACAAAGTGTCCTCTTGCAGAGATTGGCTCCTTGCTCTTCCTGTTTGTTGCTCCTTGCCTTGTCATCAGAACATCTGAAATGTAAACTGAACAGTTTTGAAATACGCAGCTCAAGTGTGATCATCTGCGGAGTGGCTGGTTCCCAGAACCTTCCCCTGCTCTCAAAGGGGAAGCCAAACTGCAACTCTTGCCCTCGGTCTCTGGCACCAGCCACCCAGTATCTGCTGTAGTCCTTCCTGCAAACTGGAACCTTTTTGATTGCACATAAACTGTCAACAATGCGGTGACTGTCTTTCTATGCCTGTCTTGCATAACGTCCCCAAGTTCATCTGCTTTTGCAAATGGTGGGATTGTCTGTTTTTTAAGTCTTCTTATAATAACAACAATTACTATTACTATTATAAAATAAATTATAATAACTATTATTCCTAAGCAGCCAGTGTTCTTAACCACTGAGCTACCCATTTAACTCCACTCATGTCATTTTTTTAAACAGCTGAGTAATACTCCATTGTGTAAATGTACCACATTTTGTTTATCCTTTCTTCTGTTGAGTGGCACCTAGGTTGTTTCCAATTTCTGGCTATTATGAATAAATCCACAATGAACATGGTTGAACAAGTGAAAAAAAACTATTATTCCTTCTCCTTCTCCTTCCCTTTCCCTTCTTCTTCTCTTCTCTCCTCCTTTTTTTCCTTGTCCCCTTTCTCTCCCCCCTTTCTCCATCCAATCCCCCATATTTTCCACCCCCTCACTCAATAGACATCTGGTTTAATTCCCTTTTGTGGCTGTAATGGACAGAGGCGTCCCATTGAGGCATCGATTCCATCCCTTTAGCTGTCAGTACTTCCAAGCACAGTTGTGCATCGAAGACATTCTGGTTTTTAAGTCTTCACACTGATTAGCACAATGTCTGTACTAATTTATGTCCCCACAGCAGTGTAAAAATGTTTCCTTTGTCCCACATTCTTGGAACACTCAACTTTTCTTTTTAAATTGATTTGTTTTTATTCCATGAACATTTTTGCCCAGGTCCAGGCAGTGTCCATGGAAGTTAGAAGACAGCATCCGATCCCATGGAACTGGAGTTGAAATGGTTGCTGAGAGCTGCCAAATAGCTTCTGGGAATTGAACTCAGGTCCTCTGGAATAGCAGTTAGTGCTCTTAACTGCTCATCTTTTCTTTTTGGTAAAAGGTGTCATAACAGTGACACAGTAAGTAGTGTTGATGAGAATAGTAAGATTTTTTTTTTTAAAAAACCTTCCTTGGTCCATGTATATCTACTTTTAAGTACTATTGCTATATATGCCTTTTAATAATGCTCTTTCCTTTCAGCTTAGGTCATTTTTATGTTCCTTATATAATGTATGCATCCTTTCCTATTGGTGGTTACCTGCTCATCTTTCCTATTGTAAAGAAGTTCATACAACTTCATTTAATGTGTATTGGACGTATATATTTATCTGGACTCATACTTGTTTCTTCTAAGATTTTATTTTAGTGTATGTGTGTGTGTGTGTGTGTGTGTGAGAGAGAGAGAGAGAGAGAGAGAGAGAGAGAGAGAGAGAGAGAGAGAGAGAGAGAGAGAGAGAGATGAGTGCTGGCACTGACAGGCCAGAAAAAGGCTTCTGATCTCCTGGAGCGGGAGTTACAGGTGGCTGTAAGCTGAGTGACATGGACTCTGGAAACCGGACCCGGGTCTCTGCCAGAGCTCCAAGTGCTCTCACCCACTGAACAACCTCTCCAGCCTCCAGGATGTGACGTGAATGCAGGACTTCAAACATGCTAGGTCAGCACCTTTGACACCCTCAGGTCCCTAACTTTTCTTTTGAAAAGAGAGTCTCACTGCCAAATTGACCTTGAGGTTACTCTGCAGTCCAGGCTGGTCTGGAATGTGTGATTCTCCTGCCCCAGCTGGTGAAGTTGATGGGATTAAGAACCTTTGTCACCAAGGCTACAGAAGTTTAGTTTTTAAAATGCAGCCTTGTTTATCTATTTATTCTTTATTTCCTATGGTTTTTTATAACACCCTCCAAAGTATTATTTTATAGACCAGTGTCACATGAGCCAGTGATATTCCCATTAGCACTTTTTAGGGGCCTGCGTTTAGGTTTCCATCCCCTTTGAGCGGCCTTAGTGTGTGGTGTTTTGAAAGCGAGGAGGGGGCTGTAAAGAGGAAATTTAGGAGATGGATGAGGCTGTGCAAGAGAACTGAAAAGTCTGATTGTAACACAGAGGAGAAACGGCTGTGGGGGAGGGGAGGCTCTACTTCCTTATTCTCCTGTGGTTTCTGAGAACTACTTGACATTTCTGTCCTCAAGAGCCTCTGATGGCACCTGACACAGTCACATATAGCAGCCATCAGAAACACAGACATGTCTCTGTCATGGCTCTGTCATGGCTCCCATGGCATGGGAGTCAGAAGTCAGGTTCCCTGGGTGCTTATCCACAGAGTGGACCGGCCTCTTTTCTTCCCAGCTGGTGAAGGCTTCTGACACTCTAGCTCACCCCCCACTCCCGTCTCTGCCTCTGTGTCCCGAGGCCTTACCTGGGTGTGCACCTGTCTCCATGGACGTCTCCATGGAGGGCACTGGGGTTAGACCAACTGGGCAGTGCCGATGCCCCAGTGCACAAGGCTCTTCACTGCCTCTGCTAAGACTTTCTTTAATGCGGGAAAAGTCATGTTTCAGCCTCCAGGAAGTGGGGCTTGGGTTCTCACGGGCTCCATGCAGCCTGCTGAGCTGCGCTATGCCCATCTCCCCCAGGTCGTCCCTGCCTCCTCAGCCTCTTTCACCATCTTCGCTCTGCTCTTCCTCTCTGACACACTGGCGGGCTCTTCATGTGATGTACACGTTGGGACCAGCAGCCTGTTGTCCTCGAAAGGATCTCAAAATGGTGAAAAGGACTCACAGGAGAAATTGTCTGTGTCTGTAGTCACATTATATGGATGACTCTTAAACAGCACAGACATCATTCCAGTTTTATTAAAAAACAGCTATTCTGAATCTAGGAAACAACTACAAAAGATAATATGTGAAAATTAAATGTAAGAAAACATGAAATCCAAAATGAAGCAATCAGAATGAGTTATCGCTGTCCAGAGGATGTGTTTGTGCTTGGTTCCTGGGTTTCTACAGTGATATTCTTTAACACACCTGCTATGTGGTATGGTGTTGAAGACATTACCATAAAAAAAAGTCAAAGACCAACTTAGAGGAGACGATTCTCTCTTCCCAGCGTGTGGGATTTGAGGATCAAACTCATGTTGTCAGGCTTAGGGTCAGGCTTAGGGGAAAGCGCCTTTACTTGATGAGCCATCTTGCCAGCCGTCTTTAGCAATTCATTACATGTTTGTAATATATTGTGATCATAGGATCTCATGGTATCCACCTCCCTTATCCACCCACCTCCCCTCCCTTTCCTCCCTGCTCCCTCTGAATCTTTTCTTCTCATGACCTGTGTTCTAAGTAACTGTTCTCTGAGCTGGCAAACTGCCCTCTAGTGGAATTCAGCTGTGCCCGCTTGTGAGAGATCATCCTAGTTGTTTACTCCCTGCACAGTAAGGTAGGGTAGGCACCTACCACCTGGCACCTCTGCATGTAGCCTGGGGGAGGGCCTAGGTTATATCATCTGGGGAAGACTAGAGTGGGGCTCCATCTGCACAGCCATGGGGAAACCCTCGTTGGTGTTAGTTCAGTAAGGCAACTTGAAGAGCAAGCCAACAGAGAAATGACTGCTTATGTTTTATAATCCAAGACATCTAGCTGTTTGTCTCTAGCTAAGTATCATAGACATCAAATATGACTGCATATCTATCTACAGAAACTAGTGATGGCCGCAGAGGTAAGAAATCACAGCCCTGTGGCCACTCCAAGAGACTCACATAGCTGAATGAATTGCCAGAGACCGACAGGGCTAGTCTTGTAGGTGAAGTAAACATTTAGAAGGATACTTGCTCCACTGTTGCACCCCTCCCCCATGGGGGGTCTGCCGACCAGCTTGTGACTAGGAGTTTCTAGCAAAACACCTCCTCCCAGTAAGGCTTGCATGCGAGTTCCTGTTTTCTGTCCATCCTTACTGTCTAAATGCTAATTCCTGTTATCCGCCCATCCTTTGCTAGAGGGCCCTGGCAAGGTAGGCTTCTGACATTGGTGGTTTTCCACTGTGCCTGCTATTGGTATACAATGCTCCTTGCTCTCTTGTTAAAATAAACACCATTCTCCTTGTAAGAATGAGCTTTGTCTTTGTCTTCATTTACATCCTTAGCCCTTCGCTGGAATCTTTGTGAAGTGTTGTAGCCCCGGAACCAAACAACTGCGATACACTCCTGCTCCTACAAAGAGGAGGAATGTCTGAGAGATCCAAGAAGAGCTGAACGGTGGATGCTCAGATCTAGAGATAGGGGAAGTGTTAAAATAGAGCACAGTTTGAGGACCCTAGACATTAAGACCTGATGTGGATAAAAAACACAAAGAAGAGACAAGTCCACAGACATCACCCTGGCCCCTCAGCACTCAGAGTCAGGAAGATGAGGTGGGTGAAGGCTGGGCAGAGAAGTCACTGAACAGAGTCACCCGTGAGGAGAGTGCAGAGCTGGGTCCTGCGGTCACAGGTGGTGAGGGATCAAGGAAGGGCCTGGACGTCTCTCTCAGATGCTGGCAAGTTAGGGAAGCCAGGCATGAGAGTGAACCTGGGACTCAACTGAGTGGATCAAATGGGAAGAAATCTCTGATGTGTGACGAAAGTTGAAGGGAGAGGCAGGGGGCTGGATGCGGGGAAGGGAACATTGTGAGTGCTAAGAATGCTTGGGGGAAACTTGCAGTCAATCAGAGTCAGAAAACAGGAGATCCACAAGGAGAAGGAATGGGAGAAAATGTCATTCTGTCTCTTTCCAGCTCACTTGAATGTCCCTCTTTATTTAGCAATCTGTTTCCATCATTCTGGCACCCAGAGCACAGGGTCCATCTCTGTGTTGCTGCTATCCTATGGATCCAGTGAAAGATTCAGGCATTACGCTGGTGCCCTGTTACCTGGCAGGATGCACTCAGGCAGCACTCTGGACAGCCCAGAGTTCACCACGCAGTTGCAAAGGACCCCTTTAAAGGACTGACCCCTGCCCGCTTATGCTCTCTTTCACGCTTCTCTTACTCTCATCATCTCATCCTCTCTTACTCTCCTCTCTCTCTCTCTTACTTTCATCTTTTTCTCTATCTCATCCTCTCTCATCCTCTCTCTCTGTCATGTCTGTCTTCCCCCTTTTGGTCTCGCTATAATAAACTATGGTTAATATGGTCTCCATGGCTTGTGCTCCATCCATCATGCCAGTCCTTATTCCATATTTAACAACATCCAGTGCCCTGCATCCATGGTCTTTCAAAGAGATCTGCTAGAGGTCATGAGGGACAGATGGATGGCCTTGTGAAGGACCCCACCCCACAAGGCTTAATTTCCCTGTGTGTAGAATGGACAACTAGCATTTTCCATCTAGTTCTTGTGTCTGTTTAGCAGGTCTTCCAAGGAACAAGCAAACGCTATCCATATTGAACAATGGACTAAGTGATGTTGTATTGGCTAGTTTTATGTCAGTTTTACACAAGCTGAAGCCGTCAGACAGGAGGAAGCTGCAAATGAGAAGATGCCTCCATTAAATTAGAGCTTCAGGCAAGCCTATAGGAAGGATATTTAGTGATCAATTGAATCAATGTGAGTGATGCCACTCCTGGCTTGGTGGTCCTGGGTTCCATAAGAAAGCAGGCTGAGCAATCCATAAGGAGCGAGTCGATAAGCAGCCCTCTGTGGCCTCAGCATCAGCTCCTGCCTCCAGGTTCCTGCCTCGTTTGAGTTCCTGTCATGGCGTCCTCCAGTGAGGGGTGACAGGTGAACAGGGGACTGAGGGGTGACAGGGTGAACAGGGGACTGGGGGGTGACAGGTGAACAGGGGACTGAGGGGTGACAGGTGAACAGGGGACTGAGGGGTGACAGGGTGAACAGGGGACTGAGGGGTGACAAGGTGAACAGGGGACTGGGGGGTGACAAAATAAACAAATCCCAATCTGATGACCACGCAGGGCATCTTATGGTGACGTGCGACACTGTTTTCTTGTACCTTGCTCCTCATGTATCCTTACAGGGTACATCACACCCCAGCACACCCTGGCTCCACATGTTGGACATGTACCGTCCTGGAAAGAGGACAGCATATGTGACATGGCAATATAAGCTTTCCACAAGTCTAGATCATGTCATGGTGCACAGGGACCAGGTGCCATCCTGGCTTGCCCTTATCTGAGCCCTATCAAGAGCTTTATAGTACTGAATTGTTTTCAGTAAACATTATCTCACAGCTGCCTGCTCCCAGGCAGAAGGGGAAGTGGGTTTCTGCTCAAGGTCTGGTGTCCCCATAAGGCCATAGAAGGAAACTGCCCTGTGTACCCCTTGATCCAGGACCTTTCTCTATTTCTGCATATATTTCTTAACTTTTTACTCCGTGACTTGCTGTGTAGCTATGTGGCTGGGTGGCTGGCCCCTGAAGTCCTCCTCATTCCTCTCTAGTTCCTTGATCTTCCCTTCCTAGATTTCTTCTATTTATTCTCTGCCTTCCAGCCCCAACTATACTTTTTCCTGCCTTGCTATTGGCCATTCAGCTCTTTATTAGACCAATCAGGTGTTTTAGACAGGCAAAGAACCACAGTTTCGCAGAGTTAAATGTAACATAATGATCTTTGCATCATTAAAACAAATGTTTTTACAGCATAAACAAATGTAACACATCTTCAACTAGTATTCTACAATACTTGACTGCCATTGCAACCTGATCTGCTCTGTGTCCTGGACCTGTGACTGGAGACAACGCCCATCTTTGCCTGGATGTCAACTACCTTCGCCTCCCTGGGCTCCAGGATCACTCCATCCTCAGTGTTGTCCCTTGCACCCAGGCCCCAAGGCCATGATACCAACCTCACCTGTCAGGTGACCTCCCAGGAGCTGCTGTGACTGTAGAGAGGGCCATCCAGCTCAATGCCACCTGTGAGTACAGGTCACCTTGTCCTCAAGGCTGTGAGCAGACAGGGAGGAGTCCTGGAGGATCATCATGGCAGAGTCCTGGCAACCTGACTGAGTAGGAGACTCAGAAGGCCACAGGCTTTCTTCTTCTGTGAGGCTGACATATGGGATGTGTCAGAGAATGCCTTACCTAACCTTCACCCCAAGTGAAAAGGGAGATGCTGAGAACCCCCAATCTGTCCCCTAGGCAGCTGGCCCAGCTGAAGCATCTCCCTCCCTGGAGCTGTTGCTGGAGACTCATCTGCACCAGACCTGACTTTTCTGATTCAAACATGGGCGGTTCACAAGGAGAAGCCAGTCAGGCCTCCCCTCACCAAGTGCCCTCTGACACTTTGTGAAGATATTCATGAAAGGCCAGCAGCTTTCTCCCTTTTCGTCTGTACCAATATGTTTTCCCTCCAGTCACTGAACATTTGGGGACATTTTAAAGTACTGTTTAGTGTTTAGCAAAGGTCAAATTTTGTAGGAAATGTGAGTAACAAACATGGATACTGCCTACCCAACTGCTGTTGTCACAAGTCCACAGCCACTTGTGTTGGAACTATCATCCATCAGGTAGTCCATTGTCACGAAGAATGAACTCTCGTAGACATGTAACTGCCATTTGAAGGAAATCACCCTTGGCATTGCATACATGTTACATGCTCCTGGCAGTGTCGTGTGGAACACAGCCCTGAAAATCTCTTTGTGACATTTCTTTTTACTGACAACCTCTCATCCCTTAGCTCTCATATCTTGCCCCAAAGAACAGTTCTTACACCCACCCTGCTTCCTACACCTGCTCTGACATCTGGTCCCTACTACAGAGTGCCCTTGGCAGGATAGCTAGGTGCTGATGTATGTCCCTGAATCTGTTGACTGGCATCCCAGGATGGAGAGCAAAATGGAACTAGGAGGGAAGTCTGGGTGTGACTCAGGGGTCTGATAATCCATCCTGGATTCCTGTTTCCAGCTCCTTCCACAATATAAATGATTATGCTGATGTTGAGTGCACATCTGGTAGAGTTCAGGAGAGGAAACTCAGCTATCCTTTCTATGCTGTTTCACATCGTCACGGTCCGCATGACCCTCCCCAGAAGAACGCCCTTGGTTGCCATGTGTCATAGTCCTGCTGTGCTCCATTCTTGGTCTGCCAAAGACACCCTGTATGGAGAGGAATATGAGTCTTTAGAGAGAGAGACTTTTGTGGAAAAGAGTATAGCATGGACAAAAGCATCTAGGTGAACTGTTTCTTTTATCTGAGATTCTGGACAAAGAGGAGGACCTGTGACGGGGAGGGCGGTGATTTAGCGGTTGAATTCCAGCACAGAAGTGAGGCCCATAAGCGTCCTAGAGGAGGAACATGACCCAAAATTTTAAAGCCGAAAGCATGCATGTCCCCTTCTTCAGCAGGGAGTTCAGAGACAAAGGAGGCCATTGATGGTGCTGGTGTCGCAGTTACACTTGCTGTCTCCCTATGCCCCATTTTCTTCATGTGAGCCTCCGCTTGGGGGTTGGGGTGTGCAAGGGGTTCAGAACAAGGGATTAGAGCAGGAGGAGTTGTAAGAATCTGTGAGAATCCAGATTGAAGACAAGTGTGGGTCTATCTTTGATGCCCAGAATTGAAGAGGTCATTGTCACACATATTGTCATTCATCCAGGCCACTGGGTGATTGCTTCATGGATTTGCCCTGGTCACATATTCAAAAATTATGCAATGAATTTTAATCTGAAAAATCCAATATCAGGAAATAATTTTCTGAACAGAACAGTGATAATGAAGGCACTAAGATCAACAATAAATGTGGGCTCACGAAACTGAAAAGCTTCTGTAAGGCAAAGGACACCATTAATCGGACAAAGCACCAGTCTACAGAATGGGAAAATATTTTTACCAATTCCACATCAGTTATAGAAGAAATATCCAAAATATATAAGGAACCCAATGAACTAGATATTTAAAAAACAGATAATCCAGTTAAAATTGGGTACAGACCTAAACAGAGAATTCTCAACAGAGGAAACTCAATGATTGAGAAACACTTAAAGAAATGTTCAGCATCCTTAGACACCAGAGAAGTGTGAATCAAAACTGCTTTGAGATTCCATCTTGCACATGTCAAAATGGCTAAGATCAGTAACAGCTCATGCCAGGAAGGATGTGGAACAAGAAAAACACTCCTCCATTGCTGGTGGGAGTGTAAGCTTGTACAACCACTGTGGAAATCGATGTGGCGGTTCCTCAGAAAGTTGGGAACTGATTTACCTCAAGATCCAACTATACCACTCTTGGGAATATATGCAAAGCACACTCCATCCTATCACAAGGACACTTGATCAACCATGTTCATTGTGGATTTATTCATAATAGCCAGAAACTGGAAACCCCAAATGAAGAATGGAAAAAGAAAATGTGGATTTACACAATGAAGACATCATAAAATTTACAGACAAATGGTTGTAACTAGAAAAAAAAATCACCCTGACTGAGGTTATCCAGACCCAGAAAGATAAATATGCATTCACTTATAAGTGGATATTAACCATTAAGTAAATGATAACCAAGCTACAATCCATAGACCCAGAGAAGTTAAGTAAAGAAGAGGGACCTGGGGGATGCATGGATCTCCCTGGGAGGGGGGAAATAGAATAGATTTTATGGACAGACTGGGAGTGGGTTGGGGTGGGAGTGGGGGGGGATCAGGTAAGAGGGACATGAGGTGGAGGGAGGGAGTATGAGCAAAGGCTGCTGGAATTGGGGGCCCTGGAGATGGTGTGGAAACTTAGTACAGGGGAAAGTGCCTGGTATCTCTGGAGGTGGTCCTGATGAGGACTCCCAGTAATGGGGAATACAGAGACTCAACTGGCCATCTCTTGTTGAGAGACGAGGTTCCCAGTGGTTGGACTAGAATTGCATTTAATTGAGTTGTTGGCCAAGGGGGTCCCATGGAAATTCCCACAAAGAACGTAGGCTGTTGCTAAGACAAAGGGTTGCTTTCCACACACTGGCAACAGGGCCCTAATGCCACGGCCAACACCCACTCAACTCATTGAACATGGGGAAGTGGAGCCAGTGCCCACATGGAGACTTCATCCTTGTGTTCTGGCGTCTTTGGTACAGGAAGGTACTCTGCAGGCTACTAAAAGAGAAGCACGGACAACAACCCGTCTACAACACCTTCGGCCTACAATTTGTCCTGCCTAAAAATGGTGGCACAGAACTTTTGGGAATAGCCAATCAATGTTTGATTTAATCTGAGGCCCATTCCATGAGAAGGAACTCATACCTGACACTTCTAGGGTAACCAAGAATTGTAGATTAGGTAGCTCAGAAACCTAGGGTGAAACCAACACTTGTGGCAAAAAGTGTCAATAAAATGACTCCTAATAATACTCTTATGCACTCACAGAGCAGTGCCTTATCCAGTCGTCGTCACAGAGGCTTCCTCCAGCAGTGGATGGGAATTGATATATAGACGCACAACCAGACATTTTGTGGTGAGAGGGTCCTTGGAGCACAGCTATAAATGGTATGTCTCCATCAAATCACTCCCCTCAGCTCAGGGAATCCTGGGAGACTGAAAGAGATGGGGTGGGGGTGGATACAAGGAGAACAAGGCTCCGTGAATCAACTAAGCAAGACACATATGACCTCACAGAGACTGAAGCAGCAAGTACAGGACCCACAGAGCTCTCTCTCTCTCTCTCTCTCTCTCTCTCTCTCTCTCTCTCTCTCCTCTCTCTCTCTCTCTCTCTCTCTCTCTCCTCTCTCTCTCTCTCTGTGTGTGTGTGTGTGTGTGTGTGTGTGTGTGTGTGTGTATTGCAGCTTTTAGCGTAGTATTTTGATGGAGCTCTTGGCTGTGAGAACAATTGGGTCTCTGAATCTTGTGGCTGCTCTTGGAACTCTTTTCCTCTTGTTAGGTTGCCATGTCCAACTTTGATATGGTAGTTTTGCTTCATCTTATTACATTTTATTATGATTGTATCATATTTAGTTCTTATCTCTTAGAAGCCTGTTCTAATGAGGGACAAAAAGGGAATAGATCCGGAGGGGAGGGAAAGTGGGGGAGGAACTGAGAACAGTATAGGAGGGGGGAAACTATTATCAGGATATATTGTATGAGAAAAGAACCCATTTTCTATAAAAGGGGAAAAAGAAAAAGAAAGAAAGAAAAAATGAGCCCATCTCCCACCAGAGTAAAGGCTCACAGAAAGAGGAAAGCAACGGTAATGAACTACAACATCCACCCTGCCACAAAGCCAGCATCCTAGGTGAGTGACATGGCATTCTGGGATCTTCCTAGGGTCCCCCTAAACTGTAGAGTCTACACCATGGCTCATGCTGGTGCCCCATTCATCAGTGTAGGTCTCTGTGTGTCACCTGCTTCTTTGGCTTTCTTCAAGTGTGGCAAAGTCTACCAATCACGAGAGAGTAATGATGAGAAAACACTGTGCAACTATTTTCCAGAAGAAATGTACAAGCTAGGTCACATGAGGTCTTATAGTGTGACACCAGGCATTGTCAAAAGTCCACACACAGAATGGACTAGAGCATTGAGTGTAGGAGGAATGGGCAAGACACAGGGTGAGAAGGCTCTGCAGTTTAGAACAGTCACCCTGAATGATTGAAGCTGGCTCTGGGATTCAGGCTGTATCTACTCACTTGCTAACTGAAACTGAGACTGTGAGGTAGCAGTATAGAGGTTCCTGCATGTCAGAGCCTGAAGGACATCATTTGGTTGGATGTCAACTTGATTGATAGTGTAGGAAAGGTACACATATAGGTGGATCCTTCTCTGTCCCCCAAATGTCCTCTTTCGGAAAGAAGCAACGTTCTCAAGGTCATCAAGAGCTTGGATCACACACAGTATCATTAACATAGAGAGCATGTAGCCCAACGTGCTCACTCTGTCGTTGGGACTCCACGTTGATGATGGAACTCTTCCCCACCGATCTGCCAGGACTCAGTCTGTTTGCACGCCTCCTTCATCCTCTCCTCTTCTGTAGCATATCCCCAAGGAATATCTGTGTTGCTCTGAGTACAGCGTATCCTCTCAATGCTCACACGGCCAAGGCAAGACGACTAGACACTAACAACCGCCATACAATGAGGAGCTCCATGGAACGCCAGAACCTTTGCATGTCCCCAGACAGAAATTCTGCACCCACCCTGTCCTTCTCTGGCAAACACCCACCTGATATGGTCCCTGAGCATTTGCCTTCTTTGCACTTAGCATTGAAACAGAAACCCTTTTGAAATGAGTCCATCTGACTGCTCTTCCCCAGCAACCTGTGCTCAAGCTTAATCTTGGCAGCAAACAACAGTATTGCATCCTTCTGTAACCTAAACCACACCCCATGTTGCATATGCCATACTTGCCCAGCTGCCTATTAGTAGATGGGCTCTGGGGTCGTTTCTGCTCTGGACCAATAGGAACCATGCTGGGGGAACACATGTTTCTGTTAGAGTGTGTGTCCATCTGTCTTGGCACACATCATGAGGAAGATTACCACTGGGGAGGTGTAATTCTACTCTTTGTTCTGAGTGTCCAAAGACCTCCACAGTGATTACTCCCCATCTCCTTTGGCAGTACACAGGAGTCCACATCATCCTACACTGCCACCAATGCGGTCACTTCACTTCTTAGGAAAACATAGCCTGCCATTGTGTGCGGAGATGACCCACTGCAGTTTTTACTGCACTAAAGAGACAATGAAGAAATAGAGAGTGTTGTCGTGTGTGTGTGTGTGTGTGTGTGTGTGTGTGTGTGTGTGTTGCTCATTTGCATGTCTTTTGAGAAGTTCTATCTTAAGATTTTTCTGCTATTTATGGATTGGTTTGTTTTGGTTTCTTGTGATGTGTGGGCTGAGAGTTCATTCTGTGTGCTGGGGTGTTGACTCATCGCAGTTAAGACATCAAGTATGTTTCCCCATTCAGTGGATTGTGTTTTTAAGCTCTCGATACTATTGTCAGTCAAGAAACCAAATATCCAAGTCCTACTGAGAAAGGACTTGGGCTGTGTTTTCCAGGTGGGTCCCACCCAGGGCATGTGTTTCTGCAGGGAAATCGGGTCAGATGGCAGAGGTGGTCCTGGTGGCTGTGGTGGAGGCATCTGTCAAGGTCCTGCTTCTTGAGCTCTGTTTCGCATTTCCGAGGTGAGTGCTGCCCCTGAGATAAAGAGGAGGTCTGGGGAGGACAGGAATGGGGGAGGTGATGGGATGTATACAAGTGAAGCAGGGGCTTGTGGGAAGGGGACCGCACACGGGCTAGATGTCTGTGCTCAACCCTGGTGTACATGGTAACACCCATTTCAACAGTGAGGTGGTGGCGGCTGGGCATGTCTCTTTATCTCTGCAGTCTCTGGCCAGAGCACATTGGAGGGGGTTGTTCACACTTCCCCTCAGGTGCCCACACTGAAAGCCTCGGTTTCCTCACTAGGTGGTGTTCTGCAGAAAGAAGACAGCAAGCTGTCAGTGCACATGGACTATGAAAGTCCCGTCAAGTTAGTCACACGGGGTCATTGCATGGCACATCTCCTTCATGTCCTCCGTGTGATAGCTACAGTGTGGCTTGGCTCAGCCGCCCACATCCACCCTGAGCCTGCCTTCCTGCTGGGTCCCACGGTGCTTCTGGAGCAGAGATCCCACCTCTCTCCAGAGTACAGTGTAAGTCTCTCCTGCTCCTTCCACTCCTTACTCCACGAAACATCGCCCAGTCCCTCTCCTCTGTGCTTCCGCTCACCCTGGCCCATTTCTCCACACGGACCTGACCCTCCGTCTTCCTTCCTTGCTTTCTGTAGAGTGTGATTTACCTTTCATGGTAAACATCATCAGGATTAGAAATGTTGTAGTAAGCCAAAGGCAGGAAATGATCACACTCTATAATCACTTCCAATCTCCAACAGCATCTGATACTGTGTCTCCAAGATGCTCCAAGACCTGTCTGTGACAGGCACCTCAAGTCTGTGACAGGTACCTCAAGCATTGCCACAGGGAGACCCACGAGTAGACGGTGGGCTTTGTGGAAACCGCTGTTCTTTAGTCTTTCTCTGTTTCTCTACATGACAGCACGTTAGCTATCACGTTTTGTTCTTCCAATCTGTCTTCGTCTCTCTGACTTCTGAGCCAGTGTTTCTTTCTGCATTGCTGCCTTCCTGTGGACCCAGGACTCCCAGTGACTCAGAAACGTCTAGCGTGAGTAGAGAGCCCTAGATGGTGGTCCTGTGAAGGACCTCACCCGTACCAATGAATGACTTCAGAACCCTCGCAGAAGGAGAATGAACAAGTGTCTACTGATAGTGGATTTCTACACAGCTTCTTTCTGTCTCAGTGAGTCCCCTCCATGTGTCCCACTGTGGTGCTTTTCTCTCCTCTCCACACAGACTCATCAGCAGGACTCCACGGTGCACAGTCACCCTGAGAATCCAAGGCCCTCACAGGGGGTCTTGCCTTAGGAACATAGCAGTATTTGAACCATGGCTCCCTCAGGTTTCATGGAGGTGAGGCCTCAGGAGCACCCAGAGATCCAAACCTACTATGGAACTATCAGGAGCATTGCTCTCGTGTGAAGCAGCTGTGTCCTCTATGGCTCCCCAAGGATAATTCCTGGATCCCTCCCATTCCAACAGACTGGGTTAAACAGCTGTGTGCGAGTCTCACACATCGTTGAAACTGTCTGATTTTGCTGTAAGAGACCTGTGGCCAAGTCTGTGCCCCTTTGTTTTCTTCAGTATGATATCACCAGTGGTTATCTCCTCCATTTTTGGTTTTCCTATTCAGAATAATGATCTGACCTCTTTCTCTTCCTGCCTCACCACTCTTTCTATTTCTCCCTCCCCACATCTCACATGAGTGCATGTATGAAGGTCATAGGCCAAATTTCAGTGTCTTCCTCTACTGATCCTCACAATATGATTATATTATTATTATTGTTGTTGTTGTTGTTGTTATCACCACCACCACCACCATCATCACCACCATTATTTGACACTGGGTGTGGTGGCTTAAAGGGAAATGGCCCCCATACACCCAGAGGGAGTGGCAGTAATCAGGAGGTGGTGAGTCCTTGTGGAAGGAGGTGTGGCCTTGTTAGAGGAAGTGTGTCACTGGGTGGGTTTTGGAATTTCAAATGCTCAAGACAGGTCCAGTGTCACTCTTTCTTCCTGGTGCCTGCCAATCTAGATGTAGAACTCTCGGCTGCCTCTGTAGTGCCATGTCTGCCTGTGGGCCACCATGCTTCCCGCCATGATGATAATGGACTAAACTGAACTACTGTAAGCCAGCCCCAGTTAAATGCTATCCTTTATAAGAGTTGCTGTGATCATGATGTCTCTTCACAGCAATAGGAACCATGACTAAGACAGAAATCGGTACCAGGGACTAGGTGATAGGCCTGACCATGGTTTTGTTTGGTAACACTTCAGACTAAAAAAGTGATTGGACATTTTAAGTGAGGCTTAATGGGCAATCATAATAGAAGCATGGAAAACAGTGGTGCTGAGGATGATTTGACTCGGGGGACTGGCTTGAGATATTCCAGATGAGAATAGTATTGGCATGTGGCATAGAGGCCACTCTTGTGATATTCTGGCAAAGAACGTGACTGTTTTCTGTCCTTGTCAAAAAAAAATGCCAAGGTTAAATTGAAGAGTTATGGATTACTGGCATTAGCAGAGGAGATTTCCAGACAGCCAGCATTGACCCTATTGTTTGGCTATTACTGGCCAGTCTTATGCAGATCTATAATGCAAAGGAGCAAGCTGAGCAAGGAAAATACAAAATGCACAGTTTGAGGAGAAAAGGGGCACCAGGAGTCCTGTGCTCAAGGAGATAAACACATTCCAGTCCCAGAAAGAAGCAGAACTTGGCAGCTTCAACCATGTGGCTCTGGGTTTAGAGTTAAGGGTACAAGAATGGGGTTATGGACTCTCCCTCCACGACTCAGGAAAGCTGCTGAGGCTAGGCATGTGTCCTGGGTGTCGCTTCACTGAGAACTGTACAAGGCATTTTGTGAAGCTATGGAGATGAAGCCTGGATTGGCTTGGAGGCCCCAAGATATTGGAGATGTCAGAGTTTTGGGATACCTGCCAAGAGAAGCTGCTAACAGGGAGTGGAATTAGCCCAAGAGAAAGAAGTGTGTTGCAGTCAACAAAGCTGAAAGGAGTTGGAGATCTGAAGGCTCTTTGACATCGAACACAGAGATGCAGAGTTGGAGTTTGCCCAGATGGTTTTTAGTTTGTTTCAGTATTTCCTCACTACACTCCCTTTCCTCCTCTTTGGAAGAGTAATGAATATCCTGTGCCATTGTTTGTTGGAAGTATGTGATGTGCTTTTTATTTTGATTTTATAGGGGGTTATAGTTTGCATGAGTTTCAAAAGAGACTTTGAACTTTGGACTTTTAAACAGTGCTGATACTATGATATACTATGTTTTGAAGTTGGACTAAATGCATTTTGAATTATGATATGGCTGCAAGTCTATGGGGTCAGGGAGTGGGATGTGGTGGTTTGAATGAAGATGGCTCCCATAGGTCCAGAGCATGACACTGTTAGGAGGTGTGGCCTTGTTGGAGGAAGTACATCACTACGGGTGGGCTTTGGGGTTTTAAATGCTCAAACCAGGGCCAGAATCCTACCTGAGGATCCTGATGTAGAACCCTAAGCTCCTTTGCCTGCTTGCCACTATGCTTCCCGCTGTGGTAATGGACTAAATCTCTGAACTATAAGCCAGTCCCAGTTGAATGGCTTCCTTTATAAGAGTTGCTATGCTAAGATTTCTGTCCCTGGAGCCTGATGTTTTGACTAGACTTACTGGCCAAGGAGTCCCTGGGGTCACCTCTTTATGACCTTCAATATTTTGATGAGAGATTCTGTTGCATGTAACTTAATGTAGGTGCTTGGAATCCAAACTCAGGTCCTCAGTTTACTCACCAAGTGTCCTCTACAGCCTTCTGTACAATGGCTTTCTAGAAAATCAGTAGCCTTAGTATATACCAATGACGGATAAAAGAAATCAAGGGAGCAATGCCATTCACAATAGCCTAAAAAGTACTTGAAATAAACCTAACCAAGGAAGTAAAAGATGTATATAGGAAAACTTTAAAACCCTAAAGATATAGAGGAAGACACCAAAAAGCAGAAAGACCTCCCATGTCCATATTTTATAATCATTAGCCTTGGGAGGATGAACATCATACCAAAAGCAATCTACAGACTCAATGCAGCTCAGTCAAAATGGAAAGTCCATTCTTCACATTTTTTTTATTTAAAAATTTCATATAGATACACAGAATTCCCCACATGGTCAATCCTGAGGAATAAGAATCCACAGGAGACGTGATGGTGTCTTCTTTCACATCAACACTACAGAATCTTACTATTAAAGCCAACATGGTATTGACACAAACAAGTACCAGACCGAGAGAATGGAATAAAGGGTCCAGATAGAAACCCACACAACTACAGCTACCAATTTTTTACTTAAAATTTAAAATTTTTTATTTTATGTGTATTTGTCTTTTTGGCTGCATGTGTGTTTGTGCACACACAATCAGCCTGCTTGCGTAGACTGGAAGGCAGCTTGAAATCCCATGGCACTGGAGTTACAGATGATTGCAGGTCACCATGTGGGTGCTTAGACTTGAATCTTAGTCCTCTGCAAGAGCAGCCAGTGCTTCTAACTGCTGAGCCATCTCTCCAACACCCAGCCATTGATTTTTGACAGTGAGGTTTAAAAAAAAACACATTGGAGAAAAGTTATCCTCTTCAACAGAACACTTGTACCTACTCACAGAAGAATGAAACTAGACCTCTCCTCACCCCTGCAACGTCAATTCTAAGTGGATCACACCACCACGTCCTCTGACAAGCTGCTCCAAGTCTAGCTGTGCACTTCCCTACAGGCTGGACTGGGGAAGGGTTCATTGACCTCAATGCTTGTTGTATTTAGTCATCTGAAACTGGATGGCTCCCGTGCGCGCGTGCGCGCGCGTGTGTGTGTGTGTATGTGTGTGTGTGTCCTATGGGATGTTAAGCGGAGACCCAACTTCTACTCATAGATGCCAATGTTTTCTCTTACCTGGTTTTATGGTTTTTTTGTTTCTTGTTTTATAATTTTTGGTTTTTGTTGCTATCTCACTCTGGAGGCCAGGCCAATCTGGAACTCATGACAATCCTTCCTCCTCAGTTACCCACATGGAGGCATTACAAGCCTGAATCAACATGCCCAGCTCCCTTGCCTGGTTTTCTTCATCGAGCTGTTATTCATTTATTTTCTATTCATGTTTGTAGAGATTTATTCATTTTATTTTTTATGTGTTTTAGGGCCTCCATCTATGTGTGTGGATGACATGCGTGCAGTGTTCACAGCGGTCAGAAGAGGGCGTTGGAGCCTCGGGACTGGAGTGACAGACAGTTGTGAGCTGCCATGTGGGTGCTGGGAACCAAGTCTGGATCCTCCAGGAGAGCAGCCAGTGCTCTTAGGCACTGAGCCATCTCTCCATCCCGTCCATACATGCTTTTAGCTGTTTTGTCTAATTTTAAGTGTCATTAATTTTGTTTAAAAAGAAAATTCAAACTTGGGAATGCTGCTTACATAGGAATAGGAAAAACAGGAGGGTTTGAAATTGCGGTTTTACATTCTTTTCTTACATCTTACTGCTACTTAATAATGCCTAATTCCAGAATCACTTAAAAGTTATTTGCTTGTTTACATTAAATTTCAAGTGCAGGAGGTCTCTGCTTAACATCCCATGTGGCTCACTGGTTAAGAACACCTATGGCTTTTGTAGAGGATCCAAGTCAGTTTCCTATTCCCACATCAATTGGCTGAAAACGCCTTGCCACCCAGCTCCAGAGGTTCCGATGCCCTCTTGTGGCGTCTACAGGCACTTGCACTCTGTGTGTGTGTGTGTGTGTGTGTGTGTGTGTGTGTGCTCAAGTGCAACATGAGAAATAGACCTTTAAATGTAAAATGTGTAGTAAACTTTCACTTTTATGTATGCTGCTATTAGTAACACAATATTACCAAATCATTGATTTACCAAATTGGGCACTGAAGCACTTGCTACTTTGGTCTGTTATAGACCCCCTTTTCTGGGGTGAACAGAAGTTTGTGTGTGTGTCCTCAGGAAAAGTCTATCACACAATAGGTCTTGGCACTCCTCACAGGCAGTTCACAACCGGCTCTAACTCTGCTTTCAAGGGATCAAGTCCTCTTCCGGACTCCATGGGCGCCTGCACATGGGGGACATTTACTCATGGGCACACACACAGATAAAATAATGATAATGATAAATTGCTTAAAACAGAATATAAGATAATATTATTTTGATCCTCATGTTGATGCAAATTCAAATCTCAGTGAACCAATGACACACACCATGTGCTCGTGCACACACACACACACACACACACACACACACACACACTCTAGAATGGCTAAATTTAAAAAAACAAATGACTGTTCTCACGTGTGACTGATATGCAGCAGATTGTAAAGTGTTTGTCCACTTGGCAGCATCTTAGGAAGTTAAGCAAAGACCTGGCACCCAAACCCTGCTGTCCTGCTCCTTTAGGCTGCCCATGGTTAAACTGTCCTCATCGAAGAGTACAAAGCACAGTCAGTATTTCAACCAGAGACAGCTGTGAAAACAACAAAAGGACACAAGACCCGAAAGGTGTGTAGTCTTAGTGGGATAGTCAGCCAGTGCGAATTTAGTATAGCTGAGCAATATGACTGAGTATCTAAAAAGCATTTGTGAAATGTAAACTAATGGGTCAGAAAGTTTGTAATGAGTAAAGTAGAAGAAAATCAAGCAGGACTAACAGGAAAGGGAGTGAGCAGGGTCGGAGGCTCAAGTGTGATGTGATAGCGTACTCAAGAAAGGCCTCGGGGAGGAAACTGGGGCCAAATTCCCATCATTTCGCAGCAGCTCCTGATTGGCTCAAAGCCACCACAAAGATGGGTGGGACGCGCGTGTTCGGCTCCTGATGGTGATGACTTTGCATCAACTTCCAGAGACAAGCGCACAATACAAAACTTCATAACCTCACTTATTGGTTGTAGCACAGGCGCGCAGTCACTCGTTGGTTGCTGGGTAAGACGCTCATACTTCACCGGGTCGTAGACAGACAGACAGACACGCACAAGCACAGGATGCGTATGCGCTGCAAAGACTGCCACGCAGCCCTGCTGTGGCACTCTATGAGAGGGTCCATGGGATTCTTGCGCATCGAGATTCTCCACGCTGGTCTTCTAGGGATGGAGTTCCTCCCTTAGTCAAGCAGTCCTTAGCGTATCCTTGGACCACTCACGAGACAGCCACAGGGCGGTTAAGCCGTTCTGCAACCTCATCGCCGAGGTATCGCGAGCTCCTTGGTTCGTCCAAGGCCCATTCTGGATCAGCAGACGGCGACTGTACATGGGTCAGTTTGCCAGGTGCCAGTGCCGGTTTAGTCCATTTATTCTGTGCTAGCCAGCCTGTCACATCGCGAGTCAGTCATCTGGTCAGATTTTCACCTCTCAGCCAGCAGTCCATCTTGCCCACGCCCCACCCGTCAGTCACCTGGTCAAGTCACTTGTTTGTCCTTTCACCCGTCAGTCACTTGGTCAGCCTGTCTCCCCTCAGTCACCTTCAGTGTGTCACCAACTTAGCCTGAAAACTTAGCCATTCTACTCATAGAACAAACAAAAAGCATGGGAGTTAATTATCAGGTTAGTGCCCGTGTGAGTTAGTCATTGGCTCCCTTGCAACCAGTTAATCCCATAGTCCATCTCTGTCATAACCTGACAGGTTCATCCATTACTTAGGCTCGCACTAGTCTCTTGGTAAATTAGTTCCCATTACACGTGTATAATCCTAGTTCTTGGGAGGTGGAGGCAGGAGAATCAGAATTTCAAGCTCACCCTCAGTTACATAGAAAGGCCAGCCTTGGCTACCTAAGATTCTGTATAAAACAGAACGAAACAAAATCCAACAGTTGGAGAGCCGTTGTCTGGCAAGAGGGAGATAGGGAGACAGATAAATGGAAGTGTGATGAGGAAAACTAATTCCGTGGGGCTCAGGAGCAGGACACCAAGTAAACTGAAGAGAAGCGATGATCAGAGGACAGCCATGATCAGTAGCTCCCCCACCCACACTCCTTAAAGCCTGGCAGAGAAGAGCAAGAAGAAATCAGAATTATAAAGCCAGTCTGATCACTACATCTCCAGCAAAAAATCTCACCCATGTGATGTGAATATGAAAATTAAATCGGAGAAGGGATGATATTTGATCAGAGTTATTTGGTGATTTATTGGCAAAGCTTGAGCCAGGACCCATATTTGGCTCATTCCAACATCCAGAATGAGGCTTTTTGTTTTTGTGAGGAGTACGAGCAGTCATTCTTTGGTTGATTTCCCTGTAATCCAGCACTCAGGAGCCAGGGTCTGCCTGTCCTACACAGGCAGTTACAGCAGTCTTCCTATGTCAGCCTTCCAAGTGATGGTTACAGGTGTGAGCCACCACATCTCACTATGACTTTACTGATTGATTAGTTCAGACTCATTTCTGGACAATGAACGGAACACCCAAAGTCTAAATCTACTCCTCTGAGTGCTGTCCTGCATCCTTCACATTTCAACTCCAGTAATCATCCTTTCTCAATAACAACAGAGGTCTCTGCCCTGATCACCTGGCCTGCAGTCATTAACAACCTGACATTTCTTAAATGGCTCCAAATGGAAGAATCCCAAACACACACACCTCTTGATCCATCCCTCCATGATGCCATGATGGCAGTTCTTATAAAAGAAACACATTTAATTGGGTTAGCTTGCATTTTCAGAGGTTTAGTCCATTGTCATCAATGTACAGCATGTTGGCAGCAGGCAGACATGGTGCTGGAGAAGTAGCTGAGAGTCCTACATCTTTACCTGCAGGCAACAGGAAGTGGCCTGAGACACTTGACATAGGTTGAGCACAGGAGACCACAAAAGTGACACACTTCCTCCAACAAGGCCACACCTCCTAATAATGCCACTCCCTATGGACTTATGGGGGCTGATTATACTCAAAATACCACACCATCCTTCCATGCATTCCAACTAGCTCTTGAGAACTCAAATACTGGCCATTAAGCTCCTTTTACTAAAGAGACACAGCATCGGGTTGGAAACATTACTCAGGTGCTGGAGTGCTGCACTAAGGATGGCCACATCTGTCCCTAGATGCCCCTGAGCATCTCATCCCAGGTAATTCTTGCTTCTCTGGTGTTTGGGATAACCAGAGGGTTACAGGCACCAGTGTCTCAGTTAGGATTTCAAGTGTTATAAAGAGACACCATGACCACAGCAACTCCTACAAAAGAAAACATTTAATTGGGGTGGCTTACATTTTTAGAGGTTTAGTCCATCATCATCATGGTGTGAAATGATGGTATTCAGGCAGATACAGTGCTGGAGAAGTAACTGATTGTCCTACATCTTGACTTGTAGGCAACAGGAAGTGTTCTGAGACACTGAGGGTAGCTTGAGCACATATGAGACCTTAAATCCCACTTCCAAAGTTACATACTTCCTCCAAAAAAGACAATGCCTACTCCCACAAGGCCACACTTCTGAAGTGCCACGCCCTTTAGAGGCCATTTGCCTTCAAACACCACAACCTGCTTTGTGAAGATGTCTCTGCTCACCCACCTCCACATCCCCTTTCAGCTGCCACACCTCATTCTTCACTGTGAGGAGTATCGTATGTCTTGCTGTTGCATAGGGGGATGCCACAGCTTCTGCTGGGTAAGTGGGACAGAAAGCGCCTCTAGAGCTGTCTGAGGAAGCTGCAGATAGAGCTGTGAGGAAAGAGGACACATAATCATTGTGGATTAGACATCATCTCTGTGTCTAGGCTCCCCCAATGAAGGCTGAGGTTATGACTCAGTTGTGGAGACCCTGCTAGAATCCCCCAAGTAAGGGGGGCATCATTCAGCAGTAGAGCACCTACCCAGAATCCCGCAGTGAGGGCCTGGGATGGGGCTCAGGGGTAAAGCGTTATCCAGCACGTGTGAGGTCCATCCCCAGTGTGGCAAAAAAAGAAAAGGCTGGGTCCTTAAGGAAGAAGAAACGGGAAAGTCAAGCCACCTTGCTGACCCATGACCCTCGCTCTCCACAGGACCTACCAGACTGCTCAGCTCTTCCTGTGCTGTGGAGAAGACGTTGCAGTGCAGCTGCTCCTTTCATGGGATCCCCACACCCTCCGTGCAGTGGTGGCTGGACGGTGCTCCAGTGGACGCGAACAGTGGGCATGGCAACCTCCAGGTGACCTCTACCACACTTGGCCCCTGGGACAACAGCACCCTTAGCCTACTCAAGAACCCAGAAATGGGCACAGTCCTTCTCTGTGAGGGAAAGAACCAACATGGAACCCATGGTTTGAGCATCCTACTGATGTCAAGTGAGTTCGAGAACGTGGAGACTGGCAGTGAACTGAGGGACTGGCACTGAGATCAGAAAGGGGGCAGCAGCCTGAGATCTGAACCTTAAGGAAGGCTTCCTGAGGGTGTCCATGATGGCTCAACAGGGAAAGGTGCTTGCTGCCAAGCCTAACAACCTGAGTTCAATCCTCAGGTGCCACATGGTAGGAGGAGAAAACAGACTACTTCAACTTGTCCTCTGACCTCCACATGCACACTGTGGCATATGCAAACCCCTCCACACACACACACACTCACACAGACACACACACTCTCACACAGACACACACACTCACACACACATACTCTCACAGACAGACACACACTCTCACACACTCACACACAGACACACACTCTCACACACTCTCTCACACAGACACACACAGACACACACAGACACACACACTCACACACACTCTCACTCACACACACTCACACACACTCTCTCCCACACTCTCTCTCACACATGCACACAGACACACACTCACACACAACTCACACACACTCACACAGACACACACACTCACACAGACACACACTCACACACAACTCACACACACTCACACAGACACACACACTCACACAGACACACACTCACACACATAGACACACACTCACACACACATAGACACACACTCACACACACAACTCACACACAGACACACACACTCTCACACACACATACAAATAAATAAATGTAATCTTAACACATTTTTGTTTATAAAAACAAAGCCTTATTGAAATGTCTTCTACTTCCAGGAAGGGGCCCTTTGGCTCCCCAGATCTTCCTGAAAGCACTGCTCCAGGGTGTTGTCTATGCAGCCATGGCAACCACACTGCTTTTCCTCTGCCTCCTCCCCTTCATGTGAGTATGTCTTAGCCCATTTTATGCTATGTAACAAAGCATCTTGGATGAACGGATTTATGAAACACAAAGGTTTACGGAGCTCAGGGTTCTGGAGGCTGAGGAAGTGCAAGAGCATGGTGCTGGCATCTAGATCCAGCAAGGGCCTTCATGCTCTATCACACGGTGAGACCCAGGGCAAATACCTCTTCTCATAAAGCCACTGATGCTGCCATAAGGGCCTCGCCTCCTGACCCCCCTAACCCTATCTGGAAATGAGAAAGATGGGGAAGAGGAGGAAGAGAAGTGGAGTGGTACAGCAGGGAGAGGAGTGTGATTCAAAACACAGGCTGGGAGTATTACTCAGTGCTTGCCTAGCATGCAGAGAGTCCTGGGTTCGATTCCCAGCACTGCATAAACCAAGTGTGGCAGTGCGCGCCTATAATCCCAGCACTCAGGAGGTAGAGACAGGAAGATCAGATGTTCAAGGTCATCATTCTTAATGTGGTAAGTTCAAAGCTGGCCTGGGCTACATGAAACTCTGTCTCAGTAAGCAAGCAAGCAAATAAATAAATACATAAATAAATAGATTAATTAATTAATGACAAGGAATTGCAGAGATGATTTAATAGTTCAGAGTACCAACTGCTCTTGCAGAAGACCTAGCTTTAGTTCCTAACACCCACATGTTGGCTCACAACCATCTGTAACTCCAGTTCCCGAGGATCTGCCACTTTCTTTTGACTTCTTCTTTTTTCTTCCTTTTTAAATTCAAGTTAGAAACAAGCTTGCTTCATAAGTCAGTTCCAGCTCCCTCTCCCTTCCCTCCTCCCATGCTATCCCCACCAAGTCCCACAGCCCCTTCCCACCCAACCTCCACCCGAATCACCAGGGAGGGTGAGGCCCTCCATGGGGGATCTCCATAGTCTGTCATTTCATCCAGGGCAGGGCCTAGACCGTCCCTCAAGAGTCCAGGCTGAGAGAGCATCCCTCATTGTGGGATGGGCAGCCAAAGGCCATTTGTGTACCAGGGATAAATAATGATCTACTACCAAAGGCCCAATAGATTGCCTAGGCCTCCTCACTGACACATACATTCAGGGGGTCTTGATCAGTCCCATGCTGGATTCCCAGTCATCAGTCTGGAATTCAAGAGCTCTTGTCAGGTCAGTTGTTTCTGTGGGTTAAACCAGCCCAGTCTTAATCCCTCTGCTCATCAGTCCTCCCTCTCTGTCACTGGATTCCAGGAGTTCAATTCAGTGTTTAGCTGTGGGAGTCTGCCTCTGCTTCCATCAGTCACTGGATGAAGGTTCAGTTTCCCAGACTCTCTGGCAGTGGGATTGTATGATGGTACTCCCCTGATTCATGTCTAAAATACATATATGAGTGCACATATACCATGTTTCTCTTTTTGTGACTGGGTTACGTCACTCAGGATGGTTTCTTCTAGTGCCATCCATTTGCCTGCAAATTTCAAGATTCTATTGTTTTTTTTTCTGCTGAATAGTACTCCATTGTGTAAATGTACCACATTTTCTCTATCCACTCCTCGGTTGAGGGGCATCTAGGTTGCTTCCAGGTTCTGGCTGTTACAAACAATGCAACTATGAACATAGTGGACCAGACATCCTTGTTGTATGAATTTGCATCTTTTGGGTATATGCCTAAAGTGGAATTGCTGTACAAGTTGGCACTCCCACCAGCAGTGAACGAGTGTTTCCCTTTTTTCACATCCTCTCCAGCATAAACTGCCATTGGTGTTTTTGATTTTAGCCATTCTGACAGGAGTAAGATGATATCTCAGAGTTGTTTTGATTTCTAGGGATGTTGAGCAGTTTCTTAAGCATCTCTCAGCCATTTTAGACTCCTCTACTGAGAATTCTCTATTTAGTTCTGTACTCCACTTTTTAATTGGATTTGGTGTTTTGGAGACTTGCTTCTTGAGTTCTTTGTAAATTTTGGAGATCAGCCCTCTGTCAGATGTGGGGTTGGTGAATATCTTTTCCCATTCTGTGGGCTGCCTTTTGTATTGTTGACTGTGTCCTTTGCCTTACAGAAGCTTCTCAGTTTCAGGAGGTCCCACTTATTAATTAAGATCTTAGTGTCTGTGTTACTGGAGTTATGTTCAGGAAGCCGTCTCCTGTATCAATTCGTTTAAAGGTACCTCCCACTGTCTCTTCTAATGGGTTCAGTGTGGCTGGATTGATGTTGAGATCTTTGATCCATTTGGACTTAAGTTTTGTGCATGGTGATAGACATGGATCTATCTGCAGTCTTCTACATGTCAGCCTCCAGTTATGCCAGCAGCATTTGTTGAAGATGTTCTCTTCTTTCCATTGTATAATTTTAGCTTCTTTGTCAAAGATTAGGTGTTCATAGTGTATGGGTTAATGTTGGGGTGTTCAATTCAATTCCATTGGTCTATCTGTCTGTTTTTATGCCAATACCAAGCTGTTTTCAGGACTATAGCTCTATAATAAAGCTTGAAGTCAGGGATGGTGATGCCTCCTTTCCTTTATTGTACAGGGTTGTTTTGGCTATCCTGGGTCTTTTGTTTTTCCATATAAAGTTGAGAATTGTTCTTTCAAAGTCTGTGAAGAATTGTGCTGGGATTTTAATGGGGATTGCATTAAATCTGTAGATTGCTTTCAGTAAGATTGCTATTTTTCCTATGTTGATCCTTCCTATCCAAGAATATGGGGGATCTTTCCATTTTCTTGTGTCTTTAATTTCTTTCTTTAAAGACTCAAAGTTCTTGCAATACAGTTCTTTCACTTATTTGGTTAGCGTTACCCCAAGGTATTTTATGTTGTTTGTGGCTATTGTAAAGGGCGATGTTTCTCTGATTTCTTTCTTGGCCCTTTTGTCCTCAGTATATAGTAGGCCTACTGATTTGCTTGAGTTGATCTTGTATCCTGCCACTTTGCTGAAGGTATTTATCAGCTGTAGGACTTCCATGGTAGAATTTTTGGGTCACTTATGTAAACTATCATATCATCTTCAAATAGTGAAAGTTTGACCTCTTCCTTTCTAATTTGTATCCCCTTGATCTCCTTTTGTTGTCTTATTGCCCTAGATAGAACTTCAAGGACAATATTGAAAAGATATGGAAAGAGTGGACAGTTTTGTCTTGTTTCTGATTTTAGAGGAATCAAGTTGAATTTCTGTCCATTTAGTTTGATGTTGGCTGTTGGTTTGCTGTATATAGCTTTTATTATGTTTAGATAAGTTCCTGTTATTCTGAATCTCTCCAAGACCTTTATCATGAAAACGTGTTGGGTTTTATCAAAGGCTTTTTCAGCATCTAGTGAGATGATCATGTGATTTTTGTTTCTCAGCTTGTTTATATGGTGGATTACATTGATGGATTTTCATTTGTTGAACCAACCCTGCATGCCTGGGTTGAAGCCTACTTGATCATGGTGGATGATTTTTCTGATGTGTTCTTGGATTCGATTTGCCAGTATTTTATTGAGTATTTTTGCATCAAAGCTCATGAGGGATTTTGGTCTGAAGTTCTCTTTCTTAGTTGTATCTTTGTGTGGCTTGGGTATCAAGGTTATTGAAGCCTTGTAAAAAGACACTTCTGCTTCTATTGCATGGAAAACTTTGAGGAGAATTGGTGTAAGCTGTTCTTTGAATTTCTTGTAGAATTCTGCATTGAGGTTCTTTGGATCTGGACTTTTTTTGCTTGGCAGACTTTTGATGACTACTTCTATTTCCTTAGGGGTTACAGGTCTATTTATATTGTTTATCTGTTCCTGATTTAATTTTGGCAAGTGATATCTATCCAGAAAATTGTCCATTTCCCTCAAATTTTCAAATTTTGTAAAGGTTTTCAAAGTATGACCTGATGATTCTCTGGATTTCCTTACTGTCCGTTGTTATGTTCCCCTTTTCATTTCTGATTTTGTTAATTTACATGTTCATACCCTGTCATTTGATAAGTTTGGATAAAGGTTTGTCTATCTTGCTGATTTTCTCAAAGAACCAACTCTTTGATACATTGATTCTTTGTATTCTTTTCCTAGTTTCTACTTCATTGATTTCAGTCCTCAATTTGATTATTTCCTGGCATCTACTTCTCCTGGGTGAGTTTTCTTCTTTGTGTTCTAGGGCTTTCTGTTTTGCTGTTAGTTGTCTAGTGTGACTAGTCTCCAGTTTCTTCATGTGGGCACTTAGTACTATAAACTTTCCTCTTAGCCCTGCTTTCAAAGTGCCCCATAAGTTCGGGTATGTTGTATCTTCATTATCATTGAATACTAGCAAGTCTTTAATTTCTTTTTTTATTTCTTCTTTGACCCAGTAATGGTGCAATTATGCATTATTCAATTTCCATGAGTTTATAGGGTTTTTGCAATTTGTGTTGTTGTAGAATTCTAATTTTAAAGCATGGTGGTCTGATAAGGTACGTGAAGGTATTCCAATTTTTTTGTACCTGTTGAGGTTTGATATGTTGCCGAGTATGTGGTCGACTTTTTAGAAGGTTCCATGTGGCGCTGAGAAGAAGGCATATTCTTTTGCGTTTGGTTGGAATGTTCTATAAATGTCTGTTTAACCCAATTGGGTCATAACTTCTACTAGTTCCTTTGCTTCTTTTTAAGTTTCTGTCTGGTGGTCCTGTCTAGCGGTGAGAGTGGAGTGACGAAGTCTCCCACTGTAAGTGTTTGAGGTTTTATGAATGATTTGAGTTTTAGTAATGTTTCTTTTACAAACATGAATGCCTTTGTATTTGGGGAATAGATGTTCAGAACTGATACCTCATCTTGGTGGTTTTCTTCTGCGATGAATATGAAATGACCTCCTTCATCTCTTTTGATTGGTTTTAGTTTAAAGTCTAATTTGTTAAATATTAGTATTGCTATTCCCAATAGTTTCTTGGGTCCATTTGATTGGAAAATCTTTTCCCAACCCTTAACTTTGAGGTAATGTCTGTCTTTGAATTTGAGGTGTGTTTCTTGTATGCAGCAGAAGGATGGATTCTGTGTTTGAATCCATTCTGTTAGCCTGTGTCTTTTTCTGGGTGAATTAAGACCATTAATATTGAGGGATATTAATGACCATTGATTGCTTATTTTTGTTTTTTGTTTTTTTTTTTTGGATTTGTTGTTAGTGGTGGAATTGTGTGTAGATTTTTCATACCTTTTTTCTTTTGGTTGTTGGTAAAATGGGATTATCAATTGCCTATATTTTTCTGGTTGTAATTAACTTCCTTGGGTTTAGGATTTTCCTTCCAGAACTTTCTGTAGGGCTGGATTAGTGGATATGTATTGTTTAAGTCTGTTTTTTTCATGGAATATCTTGTTTTCCCCATCTATAGTGATTGAAAGCTTTGCTGGGTATAGCAGTCTGGGCTGGCATCCATGGTCTCTTAGTGTTGGTAGAATATCCATTCAGGACCTTCTGGCTTTCAGAGTTTCCTTGAAGAAGTCAGGTGTAATTCTGATAGGTTTGCCTTTGTATGTTATTTGACCTTTTTCCTTAGCTGCTCTTAATATTCTTTCTTTCTTTCTTTCTTTCTTTCTTTTTTTTTACGAGACAGGGTTTCTCTGTATTGTTTCGGAGGCTATCAGTCCAACCTGTCCTCTAACTCACAGAGATCCGCCTGCCTCTGCCTCCCGAGGGCTGGGATTAAAGGCGTGCACCACCTTTATTCTATATGTTTGGGGTCTTGATTATTATGTGGCGAGGGGACATATATATATATATATTTTTTTTTTGTGGTTCACTCTATTTGGTGTTCTGTAAGCTTCTTGTACCTTCATTGGCATGTCTTTCTTTAGGTTGGGAAAGTTTTCTTCTGTGATTTTGTTGAATATGTTTTCTGCCCCTTTGAGGTGGTTTTCTTCACCTTCTTCTATACCTATTGTTCTTAGGTTTGTTTTTTTCACGGTGTCCCATATTTCCTGGATGTTTTGTGTTAGAGATTTGTTGGACTTAAGATTTTCTTTAGTCGATGAATCCATTTCTCCTAGTGTATCTTCAACACCTGAGATTCTCTCTTCCATCTCTTGTATTCTGTTGGTAATGCTTTCATCTGTAGTACCTGACCGTTTGCCCAGCTTTTCTATTTCCAGCATTCCTTCAGACTGTGTTTCTTTATTGTCCCTATTTCAGCTTTCAGCCCCTGCACTATTTGAATTGCTTCTTGTAATTTTTGCCTTGCCTTTGCCTCTCTTTCTTGCATTTGTTGGATTTTTTCTTCCATTTCTTACATTTTTTGCATTTTTTGTTTGTTTTTTCTTCCATTTCTTTAAGGGATTTTTCTCATATCCTCTTTGAGGGCCTCTATCATTTTCATAAAGATGCTTTTAAGGTCTTTCTCATCTGCTTCATCTGCACTGGACTGTTCAGGTCTTGCAGATGTAGAGTCTCTAAACTCTGGCAGTGTCATATTGGTTTTTCTGTTGCTGGGTGTGTTTTTATATTGTCTCCTTCCCATAATTTCTTCCAATGGGTTCTGAAGGAATCTCTTCCTCTCCTTGTGAGAATGTGACCACAGTTCCCTTCTGGTGGGTGGGAGCAGGTTCAATACTCTGGTGGCTTTCCTCTTGTGTGGATAGAGGCGGTCCTAGTATCAGGGCCTTGGCCATCTTTGGGTAGGCTGGACCCTGTCAGGATGGGATACCCAGTGGGCAGTCTCCAGGTCTCCAGTGGTTCTACTGAGGGCACCAGAAGTTGGGCTCACCTGTCCTTTTGGCTTGAGAATGGGACTTGGACACTGGCAGTCTCAGGTGGACTGGCTCCTGCTGGGGTGGGAACTGCAGTGCGCAGGATCCTGACCTCATTGTGTGCAGATCACAAGAAGCTTCTTTTGACTTCCAAGGGCACGCACATGTGATGCACAGACATACATCGAGACAAAATACCCATATACATGAAATAAAAATTTAAAAGCTTAAAAGCTTTTAAAACCTTAATTAAAAAACTCCAACTCCCCCCATGCAATAAATAAATAAATTAACTTAAATAAATAACAATCTCCACAGGATGCAAGGACCCTTCACAGCTGACCCATCTGAAGCCCATGGCCTGTTAAGCAGGGAATCCTGATTACACAGGGTGTGAAGTCAAGTTGCAGAGAAGTTGAGAGGCATTCCTTAGATAACACAGGAAGCAGGCAGTGCTTTTGAGACTCCAGACTTGAATGCTGAACAAAGCCAGGCCCATGTGGGCATGCAGAAGCAGGAAATCGGAACTGACCAGAAACACATTTCCTTAGAGTGAAACTCCTCAGGACGCAGCAGGCAAAGAAGTGTGCGCAGATGGCTTCTAAGGCTGACACAGACCCAGAATCCAGTGTGAAGCCCATGGAGCCTATGGAATCCAGAACTGAGTCACCTGCTGGGACGCAGCTCTCAGTGAGTGCCCCTTGTGCCGTAATGGAATCCGTCTAGTTACATGACGCTTTGGAGAGAGAGTGTCCAGCCTGGAATGTGTCAGCTTGAGGGTTGTTTCATAAGAACTGAAATTGAGGTCAGCACGCACACACGCACACACACACACACACACACACACACACACACACACACACACTGAATCTCTGCTGGGAAGTGGGTTGATGCTCCCTCTCCCCAGCAGTAGTGTAGCATCAGAGTGGAAACGACAGGCTTGGCCTCCGGTGTGCAGCAGGCAGCAGCCACTGACAGCCTAAGTCCTATCAGTGCCAACGCTTGGAGATTAGGCAGCACTTAAGTCTTAGCTCTGTGACCAAATAACTGACAGAAGCAACTTAAAGGACTTGTTTAGGCTCATGGTTCAAGGGATGCAGTCTCTGATGGTCAGTGTCAGGGATGAGCCTCTGGACATGCCTGTGGGGCCTGTCTTGATTGCACTGATTGAGGTGGGAAGACCCGCCCCCTGTGGGTGGCACCTGTAAGGGGAGATTGAGCTGAGCACTAGGTGGCATGCATAAACTCATCGCTGGGCTTTCTGACTGTGGGTGTGATGTGAGTGGCTGCTCCAAGCTTCTGCTGCCTGGAGCTCTCCATCTTGATGGACCGCCCCTCGAACTATTAGCCAAAATAAACCCTTTCTGGGTGGAGAGACTGCTTAGTGGTTAGGAGCACTTCCTGCTCTTTCCAGAGGCCCTGAGTTCTGTTCCAAGCACCCACATCAGACAGCCCACAACCAACTATAACTCCAGTTCTACAGGATCCCATGCCCTCTTCTGGCCTCTGTGGACATCTGCACACATGCACACATACTCACACAGACGCATAGATAAAAACACATATCTTAAAATCAACACAAAAGAAAGAAAGAAAACTGCTGCTCTTAGTTACTTTTCTGTTGCTGTGACTAAACACCAGGACCGAGGAAAGGTTTATTTGAGCTTATGGTTCCAGAGGGTGAAGAGTCCATTGTGGTGGTGGTGGTGGCAGGTATGGCATCAGGAGCAGGAAGCTGACAGCTCACATCTTCAAATGCAAGTTCGAGTCCGAGTGCAGACAGTAGTAATCGGGGTGGGACTATAAACACTTAAAGTCAGCCCCCAGGGACATACTTCCTCCTGTAAGACTGGACTCCACAAACAGTGCCACCAACTGGGGACCAAGAGATTAGTACCACCTCACCAGCTCCCTCCTAACACCCGGTGCACAGAGCTAGTGTCCCTTTGTGGAGAAGTCATGTGTTGTACTTTGAATGTGAGCCTCTCCCTGGCCCCTGTAAGCTCATGCAATTTGAACACTAGTTTCTCAGCTGGTGGTGGTGCTGCGGAAGATTTGGAACTTTTAGGATGTAGAGCCTGGTTGAAGAATGTGGCATGTGGGGTGTGGTGGTGGTGGTGCTTAAGTTTCTATATACTGTGCCCTGTTTATGTCCTTTCTGCTTCCTAGTCTGCATTGGGCAGCCCGGGTCCCAGAAATGGATCAGACCGAGCCCTTGCCCTCAGAGACTAACCAAGCTGGTAGGGAAAGGTGTCCTCACAGAAAGAGGACTGAGCCAGGGGGTTAGAGTAACACAGAATGTGGGGAAACACTTGCCTGAGGCCATAATACACAATGTCTCAGGAAATCCTAGTTGCACAAGGGAGGGGCCAGAAGAAGAGGTTTGTAGGCCCCAGCCATGGTATTGTCAGGAAATCCAACGTTTGATTCATGTTTCCTTAGTGTTCCTCTTCAGGTATGGTTACTTCACCTGTAGATCTGTTCCATCATCTCTCTTTGCCCCGCCTTCTCGCCTTCCAGGAAAAGGAAGATAGCCCGGAGCCAGCGAAGCCTGTGGAAACTGCATCATGTTCAAAGTTCCCATTATCCCCAGAACTGCAAAAACCCATGGAGACCTCAGAAACCCCAGTTCCATAATAAACTTGAGGTCCTGTGAATTTGAGTTCACAAAGCCCTCTCAGCCTTCACACAGCCCTTCACATACTCCAAGGCGTGGAGACTACCACTGAGCCTGGGCTCAGGACTCTTAAAGGTCACCTGCATGATTTGTTGTTTGGATGAGCCAAAAGATACATGTCTCGCTTGGAGGTGGAGTCACAGGAGAGAAAAATGAAGTGGACATGGCACTGTGAAACAAGGGATGTTGACCCCTTTCTTCATGACCAGTTCCACAGACAGACAGGCAGGCAGGCAGATGGGCGGGTGGGTGGGCGGGCAGACCGACAGACGGATGGGGACACACACACACACACACACACACACACACACACACACACACACACACACCATTATATTTTAATCTGACCACAACTTAAGTGCTTAGTAGATGAAACCTTTGGACAATACCGTCCATCCTTATCTCTCTGCCTCAAACTTCAGTAGGCTCACATAATGTGTACTCGAGTGGAGACTGGGTTGTCAAAAGTGGTACCCAGAGACATAGGTGGAGAAAACATGTCATGGTGAATTTGAACTGGAAGATAAAACACTAGAAGGTTATATCATGGAACCAAGTGCTGACCCTTAGAATGTCAATTATTTTTTCTTTGTTGCATCTCCTTTATCTTGTCTGTGTACATACATGTGGTGGTCAGTGAATAGCTTGTGAGAGTGGTTCCCTTATTCCACTATGTGGGTCCAGGGGATCATACTAGGCCATCTGGCTTGACAGCCAGCGCCTTTACCTGCTTAGCTATCTCTCCGGTCCCAATGGAGACTTATCCATGTGAATCTGTGTATAAATAGGTGTTAGTTTCTTCTCCCAAGGAGACCTGAACATGAAACATCTATTCACCCCAAAGAGGGCACCAACAGCATACCAAAGATACACTCAAGTCTAGCTTGGTTTGTGAATGAGGTTTTACAGAAGTATGGGTGAGGAGTTATCAACCGGAATATGGATGACTCAAGGACAGTTGCACCACTACAAAGTCCACCCCAGGATGAGTGATGACTGGTGAAAGTTGTAGCCCTGGAGCTCACTGCACAGCTTTTAGGCAATTGTAGCAGTAGAAGAGTCTCCATAGCAGCCACTGTGGCATGTATGTATGTACACACACACACACACACACACACACACACACACACACACACACACACACACGAACTCGGGGGAGAGCTTCGCAAATCTTGTAAGTTTCAGGAGCTCCTCATGGGACTTATGCTTTACTTTCTGTGCTTTAATAGAACCATTTGAATTTAGAGGAAGCAACTATATGACCATCGGTGAAGGTAGAACCTCCTACAATGGCTTGCTTCTTCCAAAGAAACAAATCCCTTAGAGAAGGTGAGAGGGAGCAAGTGTCATTGGTAGATTTGGCAAAAGAGAGGAGAATGAGACCAAAGGAGGGACGGAAAAGCCAAGTGCATTGGCTCAGCATGCCCATAATCCCAGCTCTACAGGTTTAAAACCATCCTGTAGATGGTTTTAAAACCATAGCGAGTTCCAGAAGCAGGTCCGCCTTGGCTGATGATTAAAATCCTGTCTCAAAACAGAAGGAACAAAGGGAAAATGATTGGCAACGTTGGAAATAGTTCAGGGAGGGCTTAGATATGGGAGGCAGAGTCTGGACTTCCTCCTAATTCTTGTTTGGTTGGTTATGGATGGCTAGGTCACAGGGTAGAAAATAAAGGTGCACACATGATGTCTTCTGATTGGCTATGGGAGTCAAGTTTGGACAGGCATTTGTTCCTAGATCACTATCTTCCACCCACCCACCACCTACTTGCACGGAGGTATTGAGGTGGGAATGTCCAGCTTTTCAAGAGCCTAGAAACACCTGCTCAATAAATAAAAAAATAAAAATAAAAAGTTTTTAACTCTAGTGCTGATTGGTGAAGGACCAGCTCAGAAGAGGGAAATCCGCTATTTTTCAGTGGCCCCACCCTCCATAGACTGGCACTTGGTACCTTCAGACTCTGGTTTGTTCTGAACAGGCATGCGCCAGCTCGTTGGTACTTGTGTGGGCGGAGCTTCTCAAGAATATCTGAGCTAGTCAGTTACGGTTCCTCAACATTAGTCCCTCCCAATCTGCACAGCGTTGTTCCTCCTGTGGGTTCATCAGGGTGGGCACTGCGTCCTTAAATCAGCCCAATCGCTTTGTCCCTCTGGAACTTAACTTCCCGAGCCCGTGTCGGCCCCTCACTGGATACTGTCTGCCAAATTTCCCTGGGATACCCAAGAGAAGGCATGCTGAGGAGCCCGGAGCCCTAGGAAACCAGAACCAGGAGGTAGAATCAGAGGAGGAATGGAGAGGAGGGACACGGAGTTGCTGTTGGGACTGGAGAGACAGCAGCTAAGAGTGCTTCCTGGCTCTTGCTGAGGACTGGAATTGAGTTCCCCAGTCAGGTGGCTCGCAACTGGCAACTGCTTGTAACTCTAGCTCCAGAGGAGCCAATGCTCTCTCCTGGTCTCCACCGGCATTCAAAGACGAACGTGGGTAACGGGAGGTCAAGGCCAGCCAGGACTACAGAGGGGATTCTAGGTCAGTCTCAGCCACACATTGACCACAAATTGAGACTCAACAAACCAAATAGAGAAAACAGCTCTCAGCTTACAGGCGAGGGAAATAAGGAGATCTGAGCAAGACTTGCCAGCATAGAACATTTCCACCCTTTGATTTGAATTTTGCAAGCCAAGCATGTAATCTAAGCATTAGGGAAATGGGCCCGTGAAGATCAGTGGTTAAGTTCAGGCCCAGTTACATAGCTTGACAGTAGCCTGCATTACATGAGACCCTGTCTCAAAAGTCAAAATAAGGGCTAGGGAGATGGCTCAGTGGTTATGGGTAAGTATTGCTTTTGCGGATCATCAGAGATGAATTTCCAGTACCCATGTATGAGGGCTCACCCCCACCTGTAACTCTGGCTCCAGGGATCTGTCACCACACACACACACACACACACACACACACACACACACTACAATTCAGCTCATAACCCAAAGGAGATTAGAAAGTATTTACCTCCCCCGCACCTGTGTTCTTTTTTAATGAGGGTATGTGTGTGGAGGGTGTCCACGTGTGTAGATGATCTTGGGTGCTGCTTTAGTTGCTGCTCTACTGCTGTGAAGAGACACCACCACCAAGCTTTGTGGGAAACAGACAAGAACAGCAATGAGACAGTAGCTAAGAGCTTTATATCCTGTTCCACAGGCAGAAAGCAGGAGTGGGGGAAACGGGGGAGGGGGAGGGAGGGAGACAGACACTGGGTCTGGTGTGGGCTTTTGAAACCTCAAAGGTTTCCCCCCCTCCCCATGACATACCTCCTCCAACAAGGTCACACACCCTAGTCCTTCCAAACCTTTTCACTAACTGAGAAACAGGCATTCAAATATATGAGCCTGTGGGAGCCATTCCTATTCAAGCCGTCACAGGTGCCATCCCCAGCAATGTTGTCACTGCCTTTGAGACTGGGTCTCTCTCTGGTCTCATCAGTCAGGCTGGGCTGGCTGGGAATTTTGTATAATGAGGCAAATCTTCTGGATTTATTGCTTCAGGGAAAGACGCATCCCCTTCAGCATCCTTCCTGAGATTATTTCTTTATCATGAAAACCAGGTTTAAAAAATACTTCTGAATCTGACAATGGTCCCTCATGTCTGTAACCATAGTACTCAGGAGACTAAAACAGGGGGATTGCTGTGAGTTTGAAGCCAATCTGAGCTACATAGCAAGTTCCAGGCTAGCCTGCTCTTCAATGTGAGGCTGTTTCAGAACAGATAGACCCTGGAATCTTATGAACTGAAATGATATAAAAAAAAAAAGTCAGCTTTTGAAGCTCACTTGTGAAGGGAAGGGGAGGGGTCAGTAGATGTTTTTGTTTCCTGATAATTTTAGAATTTCTTGTGTGTGTGTGTGTGTGTTAATCAGTGTATGCTTTTGTTTGTGTTTGTAGGTTGGAAGAGGGAGTTGGATTCCCTGGAACTGGAGTTATAGGTGGTTGTGGGTCACCGGACACGGGCACTTGAATTGAACTTGGGTTCTCTTAATTACTGAACCATCTACTCAGTCCTGCTGATAAAACCTTTATAGCACACGTTTTCTGCTTGACTATGTGTTGTACAGTCACCTCTAGATGCCAGGGAACTAGACATATTTTTAGGAGAACTTTTAGAGATTTTCTTTTGAAGCTTGGGAAGTGATTGGCTAAACAAATCTGAAATAATGAGGAGGAAGTCAGGGGTAGCTATCATTGATGTAATGCTCAGGGTCTGCCTGAGAGTGCCTGGAAGTGATGTCAGAGAGGAGGGCTGATGTGAGCCTGGGGTTCAGGCTGTACAGACTCCAGGAGGAAGTCCCATTGAACTGAACTGGGACTTAGGTAGCATGCTTGTCTTCTCAGCCCTTGGGAGGTTAAGACAGGAGGATAGTAAGGCCAGGGTAGCCTGGGATACATAGTAAGGACCTGTTGTAAAAATGAAAACTGGACTTGGTGGCATATGTGTCTAATTCCAGCCCTCCAGAGGCAGGGGCAGGCAGAGCTCTGTGAGTTCCAGATTATCTAGGGTTTCATGGTGATACCCTGTCTCTAAAGAAGGAAAACAGAAGGCTGGAGAGATGGACTACTGGTTAAGGACACTTGATGCTCTTGCGATGATTCTGTCCCCAGCATCTATATGGTGGCTCATATCCAACTCTAGTTCAGGGATCCAGTGCCTTCTTCTGGCCTCTACAGGCACCAGAAGAAACACATTGACATACATGCAGGCAAAGCACTAGTACACATAAAATAAATTTAAATATTTATTTAAAACAACAAAAAGAAAAATAGAGCTGGAGATGTAGCAAGCTCATAGAGTGTTAGCCTAGCAGTTACAAAACCCTGAGTTCGATCCCCAACAATGCATAAACTGGACATGGTGGTGAACATCTACAATCCTAGCACTCTGGAGGTGGAGATAGAACCATCAAGAGTTCAAACCCAGAGGCTGAAGTTGTAGCTCCATGATAGAGTGATTGCCTGGTGCATACAATGTCCTGATTGGGAAGAAAGGTCCTCACGCCTGTAATCACAGCGTTCGGGAGGTTTGGGGCTATATAGTGAGTTTTCTGAGTTACATGTTAAAACGTTATTTCAAAAGAAGGGGAGAAAAGGGAAAATGGGAAGAAGAAAGGTTGTTCAAGGCCAAAAAAAGCAACAAAACCAACAGTAACAAGAACGTTGTAGGATTTGAAGGTGGCAGAGAGAAGGGCTGAGATGGCAGTAGCAGAGGAAGCATACAGAAATAGGAATCTGCAGGGTGAGGAAATAGTGTGTTCTCTGCTTTGCCTTGGAAAGAACAGGAGAGGTTGATGGAGACAGTACAACAATGGTGCAAAGTCACAGAGAGCCTTGAATGCAGAAGAGCAGAGTTTAATTCCTGTTTCTTATGCATATCTCTTGTTTTTAACTCACTCACGTGCATGTGTGAGCCAGAGGTAGGTGGTGGGTGTCTTCTTTGATTGCTGTTCTAGTTTTATGACTTTTGCTGTGATAAACTGCCCCAACCAAAAACAATGTAGAGGGGGAAAGGTTTATTTGGTTTGTAATTTCGATTTTCAGTCCATCATTTCAGGGAAGTCAAGACAGGAGCTGAAGTGGCCAGACACATCACATCCACTGTCAAGAGCAGAGAGAATCAAGTGCTCTCTCTCATGTCACCTGCTTGCCTAGGTTGTTCATGTTTGGTTAGCTTTCTTGTATAGTCAGGAATGGTGCCACTCACAGTAGGTTGACTCTTACCACATCAACCAACAGTGCAGACAACCTTCTACAGACATTTCCACAGGCCAACTCAATCTAGATGGTCCCTCAGGTGAGACTCTCCCATTAAGTGCTTTTAGGTAGTGACAAGTTGACAGTTATTACTAACCAGCACAATTGATTTCCACCATTTATTTTTTGAGATAGGATCTCACTGTGTAGCATAGCTGACCTTGAACTCACAGAGGTCTGCCTGTCTCCTCTGCCTAGGATCAAAGGTGTGCACCACTATGCCTGACTCTATTTTTTGAACCTGCAGCTCTCTGTTTTCTCTGGGCTACCTGTCTAGCAAGCTCCAGGGATTCATTTGTCTCTTCTCTCTGAACACTGATATCTATCTATCTATCTATCTATCTATCTATCTATCTATCTATCTATCTATCTGTCTATCTATCTCTAGTTCTTTGCTTTACCTAGCCTTTCCTCTAGGTGCTGGGTGTTCAAATGCAGGTCTACATGCTTTCACAGCAATCAATTTGCTAATTGAGGTAAGTCCTCAGCTCCACATATCTCCCTTAAATCTGTGGTCATTTCTCGCTATCTTCTACTCCAGTTCAAACTCCATTATCTTCTCCTTCAGTGTAGACATAAAGTGACTTTCATAACAACCATACCTAGTTCCCCAACAGTCCCCAACCATTCCATGCATTTTGAGACCACCTTGTGTACTAGAGAGAATCCAATCTTCCATATCTTGAAGGAGGAAGAAAGCAGTAGAGATGATTAGAAAAAAGAAAGCAGATGTGTTAAGCTTACAGAGTCATGGCGAAGATGCCTGTCCTTGAATCTCCAAGCAAGAGGAACCCAGTTCACAAGATAAAGAGCTCTTAAATGTAATTGAGGAGGCAAAAGGCTCTAATAAGTAGTGATGCTCTTTCTGCCGCCACTACCTGCCACTTTGGATGACCTTGTTCTCACCCATCTCAAATTATGCCCTGCAGGCCATTCAATCATTCTGAGGCCAGTGTCAGCAGGAACCATCCTGGCACTCCCTTGTCCCTGAGATGCTGTGGGAGATCTCAGTCCTACCTCTGTTGTATTTGGGTAAGTAACACACACTGTGATACCGTTAACCTGGGGCAATGGAAAGGAAGGTAAAGGAATAGTTGTTTGCTATGAGCCTCAGCTGAGTTATAGTCCATGTTGCTATTACAGAGGACCACATGAGTCTGCAGCTATATAACTCCCCCCAGGAGACTATTTCTATTCACTGCAGATAGAGAGGGGAAGCATATCAGAGAAATGATTCATTAGAGTCCAGCTTGGGGACCCAATGGATTTATTGGGGTTGCTTATAGGAGACGGGTGACATGGAGGCAAGCTGCATCACTAAAAAGCATGTCTGTCTCCAGCCTCCTTGGGTGGATACTCATAACACAATTGGGTGGATCTCCTTGGGTGGATCTCTTTGTACAATTTGTAGGCAGCTCTACTGAAGAGTCTTCACTCTCCCAGAAATCCCTTATTGTCTATTTAACCTCATGGCAGGATCTTGTAAATTCTGAAAATGCAACGACCCTCCTGAGCCCTCCTCCTTCCTCCAGAAGGGAATTTTTTCATCTGGAGGAAGCAGCTACACAGAAGTAGGTTTTCTTTAATTCCCACATCACTGCCCCTTTGGTACTATTGAACTTATTTTTTCCCAATTGTTTAGGAATGATGCAGGATGGTGACATAGTAAATATAGTCCATCATAACAAGGGCAATTACAAAACCAGAAGCTGGATTGGGTGGCACTGACTGAAAGAATTCTATTGCACTGGGCAGTGGTTACTGGAGAGACTTACAGCTAGACAAAGTTTAGAGAATAGGAGACTGTGAACACCGGGCAGTGGTAGCATACGCCTTCAATCCCAACACTTGGGAGGCAAAGGCAGGCAGATCTCTGTGAATTAGAGGTCAGCTGGTCTACATAGAGAGTTCCAGGATAGTCAGGGCAACACAGAGATTTAGGGAGAGAGAAAGAGGGAGGGAAGGAGGGAGGAGAAGGAAGGAGGAAGGGGGAGGGAAGGGGAGGGAGAGAGGGAGGAACTGTGAACTGTGGTCTTGGAGCTGGGGGGATGGTTTAGCAGTTAAGTGCATGCTCTTGTAGGGAACATGGGTTCAGTTCCCAGCACCACGTCTGGTGGCTCTCCACCACCCATGACTCCAGGACACTGGACACTTCTAGTAGCTGTGGGTACCCAAACACATGTCATATACCCACACAGTGACACATACATACACACAATTAAAAATAATAAATCTTGAAAAAGTAACTTTTTATTAAAAGAGAGAGACTAAGTGTTCTGCTGGAGAGGGGCCTTCCATATCAACCTTCCATCCCCGGTCCCAAGGTTCAGTGAATATTGTGGAAGAAGGGGCAGAAAGAATGTAAGAGATGGAGAATGGAGAAGAATGCTAAGAAAGGCTGTCTTCTAGACAAGAATTGGCTGTTACATTCGTGAACTCACAGTAGGTGTAGTTACCAGTACAAGGTGCAACCAGTTAAAAACTTGAGCATGATGGCTCCTCAGCCAGTGAGGTCACATCTCTGAGGAGCTACTGACAGCTGATGGCTGCTGGAAGAGTCACTTTTCATTAGGAGGTGGCTACTGGTTGGCTGCCCACTGGATGACCTCACCCATTGCAAGCATAGGGGTCAAGAACTGGACTCTGTGTTCATAAATAAATACATAGGCAGACTTGAAGCTGGGTGGAGGTGTTGGGAATGTACCAATGGGGAACTGGAGCAGGGGCTGGGAGTGGATATGATCAAGCTACATTATATACATGTATGAAATTTTTACAGAATAAATAAAATGGTATAAAAAACAACTTAATGGAATTGTGGTTCAGCTGCTAAAGTGTTTGCCTAGCATGTTCAAAGCCCCAGGTTTGGTTCCCTGAATCATGTAAAGCTGCCATAATCTCAGTACCTGGGAACTGACTGTGTAGTCAGTTTGAGATTAATCTAGGCTAGAGATTTTTGTCTTGAAAAAAGACTTCAGTGTTCAAAGTATCACTACTTGTAGATGATATGATAGTTTACAAAGTGACTCCAAAAATTCTACCAGGGAACCTCTACAGCTGATAAACAGCTTCAGCAAAATTGTTGGGTACAAGATTAATTTAAAAAAATCAGCAGCCTGTCGCGTCTGCCGCGCAGCCTGTGTCTGAGAACGGGCGGAGGGTGTCGGGGATTGACAACACAGAGACTTGTTCAACGATGTAAAGAAAACTTTAAGCAGGCCCCAAAAAGGTTCAAGAAAACTTCCTAAGAAAGACTCCCTCCAGAAAAGCTTCTGCTCTCTCCTCCACCCTGGCTGGTTCTGCTCTGACACCAAAAACTGATCTGGGCGTGGCAGAAGAGGCGGTTAGTCTTTGGACAAGGTCGAGGTCAGGGCGGTTTCTGTGGGCAGGCCTTTTCCAGGAACTTATTGCCCCAGGCATTGTATTGTTTTTAGTAAACATTTTTTTAGTAAACATTGTCGTACAGCTGCCTACTCCCAGGGAGAAGGGGAAGTGGGTCTCTGCTCAAGGTCTGGTGTTCCCACAGCAGCCCTCCTATATACAAATGCAAACAGGCAGAGAAAGAAACTGGGGAAACAATACTCTTCACAATAGCTACAAATAATATAAAATATCTAGGTGTAACTCTATCCAAGCAAGTGAAAGACCTGTATGACAAGAACTTCAAGTCTTTGAAGAAAGAAATTGGGAGAAGATATCAGAAGATGGAAAGATCTCCCCTGCTCATGATTTGGTAGGATTAACATAGTTTAAAAAAATGATCATCTTACCAAAAGCAATCTACAGATTCAATGCAATTCCTTATCAAAATCCCAGCACAGTTCTTCACAGACCTGAAAAGAACAACACTCTACTTCACCTGAAAAAAAAACCCACAAAGAACCCAGGATAGCTAAAACAATCCTTACCAGTAGTAAAAAAAAGTGCGTGGTCTTGGCATAAAAACAGACAAGGTAGGTCAACAGAATAGAATTGAAGACCCAGAAGTAAATCCACACAACTATGAACCCTTCATTTTTGAGAAAACAGATAAAATTATACAATAGAAAGAATAAAGCATCTTCAACAAATGGTGCTGGCTTAGCTGAATGTCTGCATGTAGAAGAATGCAAATAGATCCATATCTATCATCTGCACAAAACTCAAGTCCAAGTGGATCAAAGACCTCATAAATCCAAATACACTGAAACTGCTAGTAGAAAAAATGGAAAATAGACTTGAACACATTGGCACAGGAGACAACTTCCTGTGCTGAACACAAATAGCATTGACACTAAGATAAAAAATTAATAAATGGAACCTCATGAAAATGAAAAACTTTCATTAAAAGGAAAAATAGCAGTCTAAAGAATGGGAAAAGGTCTTCATTAATCTCATGTCTGACAGAGGGTTGATATCATATATTTATATATACATATATGTGTGTGTATACATACATATATATATGATATATAACCCAAGAAACTAGACATCAACAAACCAAATAATCCAATTAAAAATGGGGTACATATCTAAATAGAGAATTCTCAGCAGAAGAATCTCAAATGACCAAGAAGTACTTAAAGAAATGTTCAATATCCTTAGCCATCAGGGAAATTCAAATCAAAACTACTTTGAAATTCCATCTTTTTTTCCTGTTCCTTTTTAAAATTTAAGTTAGAAACAACTTATTTCACATATCAATCCCAGCTCCCTCTCCCTCCCCTTCTCCCCTACCCTCCCCACCAGGCCCCCAGGCCCCCACCCAATCTCCACTCCGATCCCCAGGGAGGGTGAGGCTCTCCAAGAGGGATCTCCAGAGTCTGTCATTTTATTCAGGGCAGGGCCTAGGCCCTCCCACAAGAGTCCAGGCTGAGAGAGCCTCCCTCATTGTGGAATGGGCATTCAGTCTATTTGTATGCCAGGGATAAATCCTACCCAAGGCCGAATAGATTGCCTACGCCTCCTCACTGACACCCACATTCAGGGAGTCTGGGTCAGTCCCATGCTTTCCACACAGCCATCAATCTGGGGTCCAAGAGCTCCCCCTTGTTCAGGTCAACTGTTTCTGTGGGTTAAACCAGCCCAGTCTTAACTCCTTTGCCCATCAGTTCTCTTTTTCTGTGACTGGATGCCAGGAGTTTATTTCAGTGTTTATCTGTGGGTGTCTGAGCTTAAAAACACAAGTGACAGCTCATGCTGGCAAGGATGTGGAGCAAGGGGAACACTCCTCCATTACTGGTGGGAGTGCAGACTTGTAAATCACTATGAAAATCAATATGGCAGTATAGGGGTGAGCCCACAAAACTCTTCATGCCCATAAGGGCGGAGAAGGGAGATTTAGCAGGTGAGGATAAAAGGAAGTGAAAGAAAAATGGAGGCTCTCTCTTTTCTCTGGAAGCCTGCCACACTTTCTGTCCCCCCAGCTTGTATGTAAATAAATATATTATATTCCATATTCCGTCTTAATGGCAATTCCTCAGAAAATTGGGAATTGATATACCTCAAGACTCATCTATATCACTCCTGGGCATGTAACCAAAGGATGCTCCACCATTACACAAGGACACTTGGTCAACTATGTTCATAATAGTTTTATTTATAATAGCCAGAAACTGTCCTTATGCTGCATAGAAGAAACACATCTCAACATCAAAGACAGATGTTACCTCAGAGAAAGGGTTGGGAAAAGATTTTCCAATCAAACGGACCCAAGAAACAAGCTGGTGTAGCAATCCTAATATCTAACAAATTAGATTTCTAATTAAAATCAATCAAAAACAATTAAGAAGGGTAGTTCATATTCATCAAAGGAAAAGTTCATTAAGATGAAGTCTCAATTCTGAACATCTATGCCCCAAATTTGAAGGCACTCACATTCATAAAAGAAATATCACTAAAGCTCAAATCACACATAAACCCTCACACACTGGTAGTAGGAGACTTCAACACTCCACTCTCACCACTAGACAGGACCTGCAGACAGAAACTTAACAAAGAAACAAAAGAACTAATAGAACTTATGACCCATCTATAGAACATTCCATCCAAAC